GGTTGGGAGTTTGGGACCAGTGTGCCAGACCCTAGGACTAGAGTGTTTAAACATGTTTGCAGGTGGCAACTGGGCAGGATAGAGCCCAAGTAAGACTCTGTGTCTCGTAGGTGGGGCAGTGGCTCAGCAGGTCCCAGTGCAGGCCATTCAGGTGCACCAGGCCCCACAGCAAGCGTCTCCCTCTCGCGACAGCAGCACAGACCTCACGCAGACCTCCTCCAGCGGGACAGGTATAACTTGCAGCCCTGTTGCCCTTCCTGCTCTGTCTCACCCCACGAGGCCTAGCAGCAGATACCCAACTATATCTTTCCTGTATGTAAAGTAAGAGAGTTTCTTAAAGTAGAAACAGGCATTTGGCATAATTTTAAGGAAAAGTCAGGTGAGAATGCTGGATTTTAAATCCTGCCCTGCAGTGTGCTTGTGGATTCCAGGAGGAAATTAAGGATCACTGAAGTTACCTCTTTCTTATTTAGATAAGGAGAAGTTATTTGCCCTAAAACCCAGCATTTAATCAGTTATCAGGAAGGACTCGTGGGGCAGTTATCTCCTTGTGGGGAAAGTATTATAGAATTTGAGTAGCCATAATTTCCCTCAGGTATCTTTGGTCATTTCACCCCTCAGGTATCTTTGGTCATTTCAGAAACAATAGGATTATCTCAAAATTACTTTTAAGTTATCTTTATTTCAACCTTATTACACAAAATGTTCTAGGGACTGGGAGCACCAGCATTACCTGGGAGCTTTTGGAAATAAAGAATCTTAAGCATCACCTCAAACCTATTGAATCAGAATCTGCATTTTAACAAGATTCCTATGTAACTGTATGTTTGTTAACATTTGAGAAGTGCTTGTTTAGAAGATGAATTTGTGAGGTTTGAGTTTAGAAAGAAGGAGGAGGCATAAGAACAAATTTTTTAAAAATGGGATGAAGGAGCACTCTAAAGGGAGAGAATCTGAGTTTCCTGGGAGTGGGGTTAGTCCTTGAAATCTTAGGGCTTGAGAGCAAAAAGTTCAGTAGATGGACAATCCAATAGTACAAATGATGGGATATAGTCAAAGGTTGGTGCTTTTGTGTTCCGGGGAAAAAAATAGGCTTTTCTTAGCTGGTGACTAAGAGAGCAGAGTTATAGTCTGGTCAAGCTTCTGACCCCCTGGGACATTGCGAAAAGATCTTGGAGACTGGAATCCTGGGATAGGAAGGGAGATATCAGAGAGACCAGTGCCTGACATGTGTCTGTGTTTTCCAGTGACGTTGCCTGCCACCATCATGACATCGTCCGTGCCCACAACTGTGGGAGGCCACATGATGTACCCTAGCCCCCATGCGGTGATGTATGCCCCCACCTCGGGCCTAGCTGATGGCAGCCTCACCGTGCTCAATGCCTTCTCCCAGGCGCCATCCACCATGCAGGTGTCACACAGCCAGGTCCAGGAGCAAGGTGAGGGGAAGGGCAGGGTTGAAGGAAGGAGGACCATTTCCTCCCTTATACACTCAAATGTTCCAACTCCCTCACTGAGGTATACATGCTCATACACACACACTTGGATGCCAATACATATTTCCTGTGCACGCCCACACGCACACACACACACATACACACACACACAGACTTGGATATTCTCACATACACTAGGACACCTGTATTTGTCTACTTGGACCCTCATACCCACAAGTACTCTCAAGACATATTGGGCACTGAGACTCACCAGTCACTTGTGCATTGCCACTCCTCCAATAGCTGGAAGATCCTCTTCAGCAAACATGAGTGTGTATCTCTTATGGTTTCCAATGCAGGTGGCGTCCCCCAGGTGTTCCTGACAGCGCCATCTGGGACAGTGCAGATCCCTGTTTCTGCAGTCCAGCTTCACCAGGTAGGTGGGGGCACCTCTCATCATCCCACATAGCTATGCATCTTCAGCTGGGTGGACATTATTACCAATTGGTCAGAGCCCACATCCTAATTTGTTTTCTGCTCAGGCTTTTGGTGGGCAGGCAGGCAGGCCAGCAGCAGACTGGTTGATCCTCCTGCCCGTTTCCTCATATACCCCCTTCCCTCCAGATGGCTGTGATAGGGCAGCAGGCCGGGAGCAGCAGCAACCTCACCGAGCTACAGGTGGTGAACCTGGATGCCGCCCACAGCACCAAGAGTGAATGATCCGCCCGCTGCCCTGGACAGATGGCCCAAGGGACGGCACCACTTATTTATTGTTGCCTTTTCACGTTTTCTTTACACACTTGTTGACGGGCCGCAGGAGGGAGGCAGGGAGGAGGAGCGGGCAGCCACGGGACTATGCCCTCTCACTCCAGCCAAAGAAATGGGCCTGCCTGCCCTCCACCTGTCCTCCCTCACTTTTCCTTCCTTCCTGCTCCACCTCCTATTTCTGTTGACGGTGGGGCTGTCCTCCCTCCTCAGACTCCCCTCAACAGCTTGGCTGGATGTTTGCCATGAGTATTAGCTTACCCAATGGGACCGTGTCCCACCTTCCCACTCACAGGCCTTCTGTGGGACTGGACACTGTGTCCTCCCCTGAGGAAGCGGTTGGGACTCTCTCTCCAGCCTCCTTGCTGACTCCAGGTTGGCACTGTGTCTGCCACAGGCTGGGTCTAAGGAGCCCTGTACCTTCCCCTCAGGGAGCCAGCTGAGGAGATGGGAGCTTCTTCCCTCATGCTGCCGCCCTCTGCCCCTTCAGCTCCTGAGTAGCTGGGCCTGTGCACTGGGCAGGTTCCTGGGGCCACCTGCCCTGCCTTGCCGTTCCCCATGGACCTCCAGGGGCTCTTGGGTTGGAGGGAACCACCAGCGTTCCCTTCTTCCCTTTGTCTTCCCCCCCCACTCCTCCCAGCTGCTTTACTTAAAGTTGATTTTGAACTTTTTATTTGAGGAGACGAAGTGAAAACAAATCTATAAATATATATTTTTAAAATATTTAACTTTTTTTTATGGCGTTTTTCTCATCCCCCTCCCTACCCGAACTCCCCTTCCCTGGGGAGCCCAAGGGCTCCCCAGAACTGGCTGGATCCCTGGGGACAGAGTCACCCCATGAGCTTGGGGTCCGCCAGTGTGTGGGGGAGATCTGGGATCACCCGGTCCTGAGTTGTTTCCAGGAGAAAGCCGGGGGAGGGGCCCTCAGGCCATGCCCTGAAGGGGTGGGGAGGGTGACCCACAGCTCTGGGCCTCTTTTTGCCCTTTAGGCTGTTGCTCCGGAGAGGGAAGAGGGAGACCAAATGTGGGGGTGGGGTGGGAGGGTGTCAGGTAGAGGCAACTGAGTTCATTTGTGCCACACACATGGGCATTGCAGCCTTGTGCTCCCCCAGGCCTGCAGCTGCCTGGGGCCCAAGTTGCAGTGAGCAGGGTGGGATCTGGGAGGGGGGAGAGGCAGGAATGGGGGGTCAGAAGTGGGAGCAGCTTTTGGGCTGAGTATAGAGATGGGGAGCCAGAAATGGGCAGCTCTCCCAGGGAGTGAGCAGCTACTGTAACTTTTTTAAATTAAGACAAAAAGCCTTGAAGAAAATGACTTTATTTTTCTAAGTGTAACCTCAGTATTTATGTAATTTGTACAGGGGCCATGCCCCACCCCACCCCTGCTCCCTTAGGGTAGAACTCGAGGGTGGGCTACCATGGGGGAAGATTTTTACCCTGTGTTAGAGCCTACTTTTACCACCTGTATCCAGAAAGGGAGCTTTTTCAGAAATGGGGCAGCAATTGGGGTGGAGTTTTATTAACCCCTTAACGACTGCCTTCAGTAGGAACAAGCCTGCTTCTGTGATTAGGTGAAGGGGTGGGGTAAGATTCTACGCACAGCCTAGTTATCAAGGGGATGATTTGCCGACACAATTAAGAACCCCCTAACCTCTAACCCCCATTGCTGTCTTGCCCCAAATTGGAGTACCAAGATGGAAGTTGCCTTCCTAGGCTTTCTCCTGGAGATAGCTGGGGCTTATGGGTGGTTTTTAAGGCTGGGGCATGGCAAATCAGGGGCCAGAGTTGGGGAGCTTGGGACTCAGGTCTGTAACTGCCCAACCCCTTTTCTCTGCTCTTGTTTCACTCCACCACCACTCACTCACTCCCCAATCCCCCACCCCGAGGAGGAGATGTTGATGAATTTCTCTCCTTCCCACAAAAGACAGACCCAATGAGTGAATCAGGCAAAGTGCTTACAATGTGTGTTGTGTGAGTGTGGCCTTGGGAGAACATGTGCATCAGGGATGAGGTGGCATTTATATGTGGAGCAACCCTTGGTGTTTCCCTTACTTGATGGCTCTGGGGTATGTGTGTGTGCCTGAGTGAATGTGTGTGTGTGAATGTGGGGTGTGTGTGTGTCAGTGGTTTCTACTTCCCCTGGGATACTGACCCAGGAATAGTGGACATGGTCACAGTCCTATGTACAGAGCTTTCTTTTGTATTAAAAAAAATTACTCTTTCAATAAATGTATCATTTTTGTGCACAGACTGTGGGGTCTTTGGCTCTGTTTTTCAACATAGGGAGGGAGGTGCAAACATGAAACAAATCCCAAAGCTGTTCCAAGAAACAAATCTGGCTGTTTGATGAAAACGGAATGTTAAGGGGTGCTTTGTGCTGTTGGATTCTATATGATTTAAAGAACATTGGGGGGGGGTTGTCTCCCTATGCATAGTTTTGCTAGGTGCTTTAGGTCAGCAGAATCAAGCAATTTTAATTAACAGGGTATGTGGGATCAATTACCCAAAGTATTGCTGATAAATTTGGGGAAATCATGGCACGTGACCTACTGAAAAGCCCTAGGGTGGGAGATTACTATGTTTCAGAATGGATGAAGTAACCGGAGATAATATGAGGAAGGCAGACCTAGTAAAGAGAAGGGAAGTTTTCCAGTTGACTACATGGAAAGGGCAGCCCACTGCCGCTAAGAAGGAGCAACCAGTGATACTGCACTCCTCTAGCGCGCCGCCTTCACACGCCCCTTTCCACGAGCACGGGGCCCGCGAGTAGTACGCATGCTCCACGCGCGCCTTTCCGCCACGCTCGGCCTGGACCGCTGTGGGACCCGTAGATCGTAGAAGCTAGGCGGTGCGTGCACTCGCTAAGTGACCCGGAAGGGAGCTGCTGAGGAGGCGGGACCTGGACGGCAGGTCCCAGCTAAGACGGGTCCGGACGGTGGGAGGTGAGAGGAGGTTCTGCGCCCGACCCAGTCCCATCCCCAATCTCTGGTCCTTTACCCATTCTCTGTGAGGCTGACGAGGGAACCAGGACTTACTCTGAGATTTCGCTCGGTCCTGTCAACCTTCTCTGACCGCGCCCCCTACCATGCTTACCCGGCATCCCTACCCCGTCCCTCAATCCCATTCCCTTGCTGTACAGGACTCCACCCCACCGCCCCACTGTCCTGCAAACGTGAGACTTGCCTTGCTCCCAGCTGGGCTCAGTCCCCGCAGCCAAACCTCACCCCTACATCTGTTTATTGCTGCTGGTCTAGGCCCACGCTGCGCCTTCTCAGTTTTCCTCCCACACCCGCCGGGCCTATTCATTTTATTCCTCCTGGCGCTAATCAGTTGCCGATTGCTGGGAGGCTGGTTACCTCCCGGCCTCTCCCTACCCCCGCCCCCCCACCTGTGCGCGCGCTCAGTGAATCCCTACCCCCATTGAAGTCCACATCTTTTATGTCTCTTTCTCTTCTGTCCTTTCTTCTTGTCTTTTATTCTGTACCCTGACACAATTCCGGTTCATCTTACATTCTTATGCTTACTATTCCCTGTTGCCTCTATACTGCTTATCGCACATGGCTTTTCCTGATCATACCTACTACCTTTTATAATCTTCTGACTTATAATCTTCTGACTTAATTTATCTGATAACTGCCTGTACCTTATAAGAATAATAGTAGATTAATATTAGACCATGTTTACTGAGCACTCATGTGCTAGATGTTTTTGTTTCTTTGTATGGTTCTAGAATTGAACCCCGGGCCTGGTACATGCTAGGCAAGCACTCTACCACTGAGCTACATCCCCAGCCTTAAATGCTACTCTAAATGTATTACATACATAATCTTATTAGGTTTTTATTTCATGAGATAGGTGCGAATATTACCACCTTATAGAGGAGGAAATAGTCTCAGATTTTAAGCAACTTGTTCAAAACTATGCAGTAGTGATTGGAATTAAGAATCATATATTTATCTGACTCTGAAATCTGTACTTTATTGTTTATCTCAAGACCTCATTCACTACCCTGTACCCTGTGAGTACTACCTTCCTGTTAATCTAGCTGACCTAAACCCTTACTATACAGACAGCATAAGTACAGGGTGGGATGTGGTCTTTTTCTCACATAATTTTATGTGGTTCCTAGGCTGCTCCTCCTCTCACAAAACTCATATATTTCTCCCATCCAGTAATCTGCCCTACATCCCTGCCTCCTTTCCTTTGCTTCTTTGTATCTGTTGTGGCCCACCCCACTATATCCACATTCTAGTTTTACCCTGTCCTGTCCTTCCCCCAGCCTTCTGGCCTCATTATCTCATATGCTGCTGTCCTTCCTGTTCATTCATGTTAGCCTTTTAAGTCTTGATCTATATCCTTCAGCCATTCTACTATTTACTGCCCAGCCTGTCCTGCTTAACTGTTAACTCTGTGTATTGTTACCTTGCCTGTTACTCTTATTCTCTTTGTAACCATTTCCATCTCTTGAAGCCCTTTATTTCATCCCCTTGATATTTTCACTCTTTCTTCTCTTATAAATATCAAAGTTAAGTTCAGCTGTTCATTCCATCCTATTCTTTATCTTTTATGTTTGGCCTCTGAATTCTACCATGTAGCCTGCCAGTCACCACACACCCTCTCTTGTTCCAAAAGTTATCCCACTATGTATAGTCTTTCTTTTCCCATACTGTCTGATCTTTCTCTTTCTGTATCTCAGGAGATCAGGATGATAGGGGAACGGCGTGCTAGGGGCCTTATGGTGCCCTTGGGGCCCCAGCTGCAGGCATATCCTGAAGAACTTATTCGACAGCGGCCTGGACATGATGGACACCCTGAATACCTGGTCCGATGGAGTGTCCTGAAGTGTGGAGAAGTGAGCAAAGTGGGTGTAGAGGAAGGCAAAGCAGAGCACATTCTCATGTGGCTGTCAGCCCCAGAGGTCTATGCTAACTGCCCCATGCTATTAGGTGAGCGAGCACTATCTAAGGGACCTCAGCATGAACCATCTGGGGGTTCAGGAAGCTTTCCCAGAGACCCAGGAGGCCTGGACGATGTGGCAATGGGAGAGATGGAGGCTGATGTGCGGGCGCTGGTACGCAGGGCTGCCAGGCAGCTGGCAGAAGGTGGGACCTCAAGCCTTACAGCTGCTGTGCTCCACACCATCCATGTGCTCAGTGCATATGCCAGCATCGGGCCTCTCACTGGGGTCTTCAGGGAAACAGGAGCCCTAGACCTGCTCATGCACATGCTGTGCAATCCTGAGCCTCAAATTCGTCGGAGTGCGGGCAAGATGCTGCAGGCTCTGGCAGCCCACGATGCTGGTAAGACAGCCAGGGAAAGAAGGAAAACATTGGAGAAAATGGGGCTGCAAGGAATAAAAACAGAGATTTCCCAACTCTATTAGAGCACCTAGTATTGGTGAATATCAATTCAGGGTAAAGGAGGCATATAAATTATTAGGTTATTACAAGTACATAAACAGGACAAATTGTTGGCACCTGGTAGCTATGTCCATTCTCAGTGCAGTGTAAGAAAAGAGAATGGGGTAGACTTGTAATTTTTAAGTAGGTTGAGATTTATTGGTTGTGAAATCAATTTATTGGATTTTAACTAACATTTTTACAAAACTATCAATATGCAGTATAAAGTTTTTGTAGCATGTTGTATGTTCCAGTTTTATGTGTATAGGTTTGTTTCAGGTCACCACATAAAATATGTTTTTTTGCTGTGGGTCTTAGTCACAAGGAAGTTTCAAAACACCTAGAGAAGGAGATAGAAAGCCTAGGAAAGGCAGGGAGAAAGTATTGGGGATTGAGGAGAAGATACGGATTGGGTGTGGATTACAGGGAGTCGGGCTCACGTCCTTCTGTCACTGAGCCAGCAAGATGGCATCGAGCAGCACATGGATTTTGACAGCCGATATACTTTGCTGGAGCTGTTTGCAGAGACCACATCCTCTGAAGAGCACTGCATGGCCTTTGAAGGCATTCATCTGCCTCAGGTACTCCATGGCTATGGGGGAATACTCTGTTCAAGGCATTATTTCTGAAGCTATAGTTCAGGACTATGTCAGCACTAAAGCCACCTGAACAGGTAGTTAAAAGGAAGGTTCATGTCCACTTTCCCAACCTCTCTCATTGAGAATTTTAAAAATTAGAATCCAAGTGTTTTAAGACCTCCCTGTATGTTTCTTACCCAAATCAAAGAGCTATAGACCTAGGAATGAGACCTTTGCAATTTTCTGTGGGGGAGGATATTAAGGGGCAAGGGAAGAGGCCAAAGCCAGGAAGAGATGAACCTATACCTGGGATTGTGTCCTAGATCCCAGGAAAGCTGCTCTTCTCCTTGGTGAAGCGCTATCTATGTGTTACTTCCTTGCTGGATCAACTAAATAACAGTCCAGAGCCAGGAGCTGGAGACCAAAGTTCCCCAAGCACCATGAGGGAGAAAAACCGGGGACAAAGGGAGCTGGAGTTCAGCATGGCTGTGGGCAACCTCATTTCAGAACTGGTGCGGAGCATGGGCTGGGCCCGGAACATCAGTGAACAGGGCACGTTACCACCCAGGCCACCTCGGTCCATCTTTCAACCCTGCATTTCAGGACCACCCCTTTTACTCCCCACCATTGTCACCATCCCCAGAAGGCAAGGGTGGGCCTTTCGCCAGCGCTCCGAATTCTCTAGCCGTAGTGGCTATGGCGAGTACGTGCAGCAGACACTGCAGCCAGGGATGCGAGTGCGGATGCTGGATGATTACGAGGAGATCAGTGCTGGGGATGAAGGTGAATTCCGGCAGAGCAACAGTGGTGTGCCCCCTGTGCAGGTAAGGGACTCATAGTAATGGGACACTGTTGGGGGTCTCTTCTGGGTGGGGCATAAACTGGAACTTCCAGGTAGGAGGCTCTGGTACGCCACCCAAGGTGAAAACCTCCAGGGGAATTGGAATGGTAAGAGAGCATCAGCAAATGAAGGGGTGTTATTTGAAGAGCTGAGAAAACTTGGTGGGTGTGAGTGGGTATGAGGTCATGGACAGGCTCATAACCAGGAAGCAGAAGTGATACATGGAGATAATATCATCACTTCCACTAGTGGAAGAAGCTAGGAAAGAATGTGAGAACAGAGACCATCAAGGTTAGGAAGAGAGGCAGGGTCCACTCCTGATAGGGGAAGAAATCCTTTAGCTATATGGAGGTTCTTCCAAGCCTAGATAGGTGTGTATCTGAGGGTATGATCCAGATCTGGACTTGGGCATGTTCTCTCAAGCTTTTACAGCTCAGAGCTCAGAGCACTGAGCCCTTTCTGTTCTTCCTTCATGCCAGGTCTTCTGGCAGTCGACAGGCCGCACCTACTGGGTGCACTGGCACATGCTGGAGATATTGGGCGCTGAGGAAGCTACTGGGGATTCAGCTTCGGCAGCTGTGGAGAAGGGGGCAGGGGCTACTGTATTGGGCACAGGTGAGCCTAAGAGAGGATGTGGGTAGCCTGTCTCTGAACAGAGGAGTTGTGTCTCATATGAAACCACTTCTGACTGGGAGCTTCCCCAGGTTCAGAAATCAGCTGTTATTTCTACTGGGTGCTGATAGCCCTATCTTTGTGTTCTTAGCATTTCCTTCCTGGGACTGGAAGCCTGTGGATGGCCTCTACTGCTTGCCGTACCTCCAGACTGAGCCTCAGAAGAATGAGGAATTGGGATACCTGACCCAAGCTGAGTGGTGGGAATTGCTTTTCTTCATCAAAAAGTTGGACATATGTGAACAGCAGCCAATTTTCCAGAATCTTCAGGAGAAACTAGATGAGGTATTTTAGGCCTGAGATATGGTGGGAGATGGACATTAAGGGATTAAGAGTAGTAGTAATGGGATTAGAGGTGGAAACTAAAGGAAGTTTTATCTATGGATACCACTTAAGGGGAGGCTGGAGTTAGAGAGTATAGGGGTCTTGTTGGTTGGGGGAGACATGTGCTGTGAGACATGTGCTTTCTAGTATGTAGAAAGGATGAAGTTATGGTGGGAGTGATCTATTTCTATCCCCAGGACCTTTGTGTCTGCTTGTCCCTGAAATTTATATTCTTTGTATTGACAGACCCTGGGTGAAAAGTCTCTAGGTGAGATCTCTGTGCCTGTGGAGATGGCTGAGGGTCTTCTGCAGGTTCTCAGTAATCGGTTTGAGGGCAGCACCCTCCGTGACTTGCTCAACTCCCAAATCTATACCAAATATGGACTGCTACCTGATGAACTAAGCAGCTTATCTTCACGAAGTCACTGCTGTACCTCAGATCCAGAAGGGGAATCCAAGTCAGAGGCCAGCTTCTCAGAGGAAGAGACTGAATCCCCTAAAGCAAAGACTGAGCCCCCTAAGGCAGAGTCACAGCCTGCCAAGGCAAAGACTGAGCCTCCCATGGCCCAGAGTGATTCACAGCTGTTTAACCAGCTTCTGGTGACTGAGGGGATGGTTCTGTCCCCTGAGATGAAGGAGGCAGCCAGTGGTGAGTCAGGTTCTGGGAGGGGAGGACAAAGACATTGGAACAAATCCTGTCATGGGCCCAGAGGTGGGTTATGAGGGTGGAGGAAAAGCCATGGAATGAGGTCCTTTTTTGCAGGGAAAATGGCTTGCATCCATCATCTTCCCTTTGAACTTGATTGTACCTGGCCAACTACTACTCCTTTTCTTCAATATCTCTGGAAAAGGAGAGTCCATTTCTCAGGGTATTTCCATCTTCTGTATTTGATTAGATCTTTCACACAGAATTGGAAATATTCCAAATGCAAGCCATAATAACATATTTAAATATCAATAGGATAACTGGGCTGACCTTTAAAGACTTCCAGTGTGGAGGAGGTGCCACAGTTCTTTTAGCCACTTGCCTTTCTCCCACCAATTTCAGAAATGGCTAGAGCCTTGCGGGGTCCTGGTCCGCGCAGCTCCCTGGATCAGCATGTAGCAGCAGTCGTGGCCACTGTGCAGATATCCAGCTTGGACACAAACCTACAGCTTTCAGGGCTCTCTGCCCTCTCTCAGGCTTTGGAAGAGGTCACAGAGCGGGACCACCCTCTGGTCCGTCCTGACAGATCATTGAGGTTAGCATGTTACAGAGGGAAGAGGTCTGGGTTGAACCTGTGGGCAGTGAGACTGATGGTGGAGGGAAGAAGTAATCAAGAATTAGAAAGGCTGAGGGTAAAGAAAGGGTCATCCTGAGGAGCAGCTGAGCAGGAGGGGGGTTAAAATAATCTCAGAGCATTTCTGTGCTAGGATTTTATATGGATTATTTCATTAACTCTGCCTAAAAGCAAGGAAGCATTGATAGTATTATTATTCTATCATTACTTATTAATATCAGTATTATTGTTTGGGTGAGAAAATAAGCTTTATAGAATTTAAATAACTTTAGCTCAAGAGTTCTATAGGTAGCAGAGCCAGGATTCAAACCTAGGTCCTTTGGCCGTAGAGCTTGAGATTGTTTTCTTTCTTTCTTTTTTTTTTTTTTAAATAGTTTTCTAGTTGTTGATGGATCTTTATTTTAATCATTTATTTATATGCAGTGCTGAGAATAGAACCCAGTATCTCACACATGGGAGGCAACCACTCTACCACTGAGCCCCAGCCCCAACCCAAGATTTTTTTTCTTTAAAAAATGTTTTTTCTTAGAGCTGGGGTTGTGGCTCAGTGGTAGAGCACTTGCCTGGCATGTGTGAGGCACTGGGTTTGATTCTCAACACCACATATAAATAAATGAACAAAATAAAGCCCCATTTAAAAAAATAAAATAAAGGAATCTCTTAAAAAATGTTTTTCTTTCTTCTATCTCTTTTTTTTTTTTTCATTTTGAAAGTTTTTTCTGCTTCTTTTTTGAGGGGAAGGGCAGGTACTGGGGATTGAACTCAGGGGCAGTGGACCACTGAGCTACATCCCTAGCCTTATTTTGTATTTTATTAGAGACAGTGTCTCACTGAGTTGCTTGCTTTTGCTAAGGCTGGCTTTGAACTCATGATCCTCCTGCCTCTACCTCCCAAACTAGTGGGATTACAGGTATGCACCACTGTGCCTGGTTTTTTTCCTGCTTCTTAATTACAAATAATAATACACAAATACATTATCATTTAAAAATATCTAAAGAATATAAACAAAATGAAAAGCCTGAGTCCTTTTTACCACTGTTATCAGGCTGGTATATCAGTCAGACCATCTATAGTTTTACACTAGTAATTATGTACTTAGAAATAAAGCATTTGGCATAGTATTTATTACTATATTATTATTTTCTATTTATTTTTATTCGTTTTTGTGATGCTGGGGATTGAACCTAGGGCTCTTTACTACTGAGCTTTATCCCTATCCCTTTTCTTTTAATATTTATTTTTTTAGTTATAGTTAATATTTATTTTTTTAGTTATAGGTGGACACAGTATATTTTAATGTGGTGCTGAGGATCGAACTTGGTGCCTCACTCATGCAAGGCAAGTGCTCTCCCTCAGAGCCATAATCCCAGCCTCTCATCCCTATCCCTTTTTAAGACGGAATCTTGCTAAATTGCTGAGGCTAGCCTAAAACTTATGATCCTTCTGCCTAAGCCTCCCAAATCACTGGGATTATAGGCATGTGTCACCACACCTGGCTTTTTGGTAGTATTTAAAAAATTCACATTAAATTTATTTTTAATTGATGCATAAAAACATAAAAATTGTACTTACTATTGTAGTTGAAATAGAACATTTTCTGAGTTTGTGTTTTTAATATATAAGCAGGAGGTGGGTTGTTAAAATATTCTTGAAGCACTTTTGTGCTAGAATTTTACAAACATTCTCATTAAATCTGCATAGTACCAAGGAACATTGATAGTATTATTATTCCATCATTATTATTAACACAGTATTACTATTTGGGTGAAAAAACAGGCTTAGAGAATTTACACCACTTTAACTTAGAGTTCTGCAGATAACAGGCTAGGATCCAAACCTAGGTTATTTTGTCTCCAGAGGTTGTTTCTGTGACTGCATGTTTCTCTACCTCCATTTAGTATGTTTCTAAGGGTTTTCGTGTCAGTTCACATGGAACCACTCCTTATTTTCATTGCTGCATAGAACTCTGATATGGTCACAGCCAAATCCAAGTATAGTTTTCTAGTGGATCTCTTTTTTATTTACCTCCATCAATAATGGGATATCATTCTCAAAAACAATAGATTAAATCAGTGAAAATTTTAAATGGTGTCTGTTTTAATTTTCATTTCTAATAAAGTTAGGCATATTTGCATGCATTTGTTATGTTTCTTCTATAAAAATTTTATCTTGTCCTTTGCCCAGTTTTTAATTGGGTCACTGGTTTATTCTTAAGGATTTATAGGCATTCTGGATATTAAACTTCCATTATTTATGTTTCAAATATTATGTCTTTTAAAAAAATCTCATTAGTTTTATTTTTATGGTTATAAAAGGATACATGCTCTCTGTAAAAAAAATTAGAAAATTAGAAATATAAAAATCATCTAAAATCCCTTTATACAAGACAATAAGTATTAATATTTTGGCAATAAATATTTAATATTCTTATGTTTTTAATCTACCCATATATATTAACTATGTACATTAAGTAGTTAATAATAAATCCTGGCTACAGAAGCAGCTATATATTTAAAGTATATTTGATTCATCATAAGCCCTCTTGAGAAAATGTAGATCAAAACAATTTCTCCAGTACATTTATTTGCTTTCTTCCCCAGAAATTCTCTATTTGTATTCTTTTCTTCATAGTTCCCAGGCCACCTTCTCATCTGCATCTATCACTGTCAAAGGTGTCAGTACCTGCTTTTTGCCTTTTGTAACCTTCACTGAGGACTAGAGACTCTGGAGGCACCACTTCTTTTCATTGCACATCAGCATTTCCACTGAACCTTTCCCCCAGCTCATGTTGTTTATCTCTTAATTTTACTTATAGTATCTTTCATTATGATGAAGTTTTAGGCTTTTTTGCTGCTGTATTTTTCAACTTTTTTTGTGTCTTCTAGATTTTGAGTCCATTAGGAAAGGTCTGTCCTATTCCAGGATTAGAAAAAGATCTTCTTTTTCTTAAACAATTTTATTGAGATATTATTTACATGCCATAGCTTCAAGCATTTAAGCTATTCAATTGAATGGTGCCACTGAGCCACAACTCCAGCCCTAGAAAAATATTTTCTTTTTTTTTCCCTAGAAAAATATTTTCTAAAATGATCTATGATTTTTGTTTTTTTCATTCATTTTAAAATCCATTTGCAGTTTTTTTTTTTAATAAATGGTGTGAAGTAGAACTTCAATTCAAGTTCAAGTGTATCAACCTCACATTTTTGTTTTCGGGTATTGTTTTGTGTTGGAGATTGAACCTAGGGTCTCATGTGTATTTAGCACACACTCTCTTACCATGGAGCTACATCCCCAGCCCAGTATCAGTTTTCAAGTATTCCATTCTGTCCTCATTTGGCTGAGATGTCACTGTTATCTCTTTTGTCATCTAGTGATCTTGGCTACCCTGTTTTAGAATTACTGAGTTTGTTTGTTTCTTCATTTATTGCCTTCAGTGTATTGCTGATTTCTCTCTGAGGGCAGATTTTTTTTTTTAATATGGTGCTAAGGATTAGAACCCAGGACCTTGTGCATGTGAGGTAAGCACTCTACCAACTGAGCTATATCCCTAGCCCATGGAGTTTTAATTAGTATGTCTTTCTAGTTATATTTGGATAACTTTAGACAGTCTATCATTTATTTAATTTTTTTTCATATGTTGATGGACCTTTATTTTATTCATTTATTTATATGCAATGCACAAAATTGAACCCAGTGCCTCATACATGCTATGCAAATGCTGTACCTCTGAGCCACAACCCCAGCCCCTCTATCATTTTTTTTTTCTAAACATTTCTTTTTATATTTTTGAGGTGCTGGGAATCAAAGCCAAGGCCTCAAAAATTCTAGACAAATGCTCTACCATTGAGCTATGTCTATAGTCCTTCCAAACATTTCTTGATAATTATTACATATTTTCTCTTGCTCTGTCTGAATCTACCTATAATTTTTAAAAAATTTTTAAGGCATTTTGATAGAATTATATTGAATCTGTAGATTCATTTGGAAAGCTGGGCCAGTTTGTAGCCATTTTGCTCTCTACTAGAGGTAGTCTGCAGAGGGAAGGAGGTAGTGATGGGGAGGGCAAGGAGAACAGGTTTGGGAGGGGGACAGGCACGATCTTAATGGATGGAGTTGGGCAGGGAGTCAGATGGTGAAAGTCAGGAAAGATTCCTTGGGATGGGGAGCCCCAGTGTCTCCTCTTTTCTCAGAGAGAAGCTAGTGAAGACGCTGGTGGAGTTGCTGACCAATCAGGTGGGAGAGAAGATGGTGGTGGTGCTGGCTCTCCGCCTCCTTTACCTGCTCATGACCAAGCATGAGTGGCGCCCACTCTTTGCCAGAGAGGGTGGCATCTACGCTGTGCTGGTTTGCATGCAAGAATATAAGACTTCTGTCTTGGTACAACAGGCAGGGCTGGCGGTGAGTGCACTGGGCCCTGTGGGAAAGAGCAATGGGCAGGACAGGCAGATTGGGGAACTTCTGACCTTGGAGGTATTTAAGGTGTAGACATTAGAATGAAAGAAAAGACACACATGGATTTAAGATTGCAATCAGGACAGTCTTGGAGATTGCATGTTGAAGAAAAGGGGAAGGCAGTTTTTATAACCTGATGCTCATGTTATAGGCACATGACTCTTAAAGCTTGGGAAATAATGCCAAGAATTAATTAATGGAATGGCATCAAATTAAAAAGCTTCTGTGCAGCAAAGGAAAACAATTATGAATTTGAACAGAGAACCTACAAAAGGAGAAATTCTTTGCTAGCTACTCTTTTGGCAGAAGATTTATATCTAGAATATATTAAAAACTAAAAAAAATACAAAAAAATAAATGGGCAAATGAATGAAACAGATACTTCTCAAAAGAAGAAATACAAATGGCCAACAAATACATGAAAAAAATGTTCATCAATATCATTAGCAATTAAAGAAATGCAAATTAAAATCACACTGAGATTTCATCTCATATCATAGTCTTAGTGACAATCATCAAGAATACAAACAGTAGTATTTTTTGAAGAGGATGTGGAGAAAAAGGAACATGTTTACACTGTTGGTGAGATTGTAAATCAGTATAACCACCAAGGAAATCAGAATAGAGGTTCCTCAAAAGACTAGGCATGGAACTAACATATGAACTCAGCTATACCACTCCTTGGTATTCTAAAGAATTAAAATCAGTATACTGTAGTGATACATGCATATCCATGTTTATAGTAGCACAATTCACAATAGCCAAACTATGGAACCAGCCTAGGTTTCCATTAATGAATGAGTAGATGAAGAAAATGTGGTATATGTACACAATGGAATTTTACTCAGCCATAAAGAAAAATGAAATTATGTCATTTGCAGGAAAATGGATGGAACTTGAGACCATATGTTGAGTGAAATAAGCCAAACTCTCAAGGTCAAGGCTTATGTTTTCTCTCATTTATGAAAGCTAGAAAAGAAAAAAAAAGAGAAAGGTGGAGAGTGAGCTCATGAAAAGCAAAGGGAGATCAATTAGAATAGAAAAGAGGGACCAGGGGGTGGGAGAAGGAAGTGCTGGGGAGGGACAGTGACCAAATTATATTGTGTGTGTGTACTAATATGTAACCCAAAATCCCACTATTATGTACAACTATAATGCACCAAAACAAAATGTGGAGAAAATTTTTAAAAAGAATGATGCTCAGGCTTAAAATTGAACAACAGAGTACATAAAGTGGCTGCTTACCAATTTAAAGAATGTTGCAAGAAAAGAAGGTAAGGGGAAGGAGAAGTTCAGGAGTTGAGTTTTTAGTTGTGTCGAATGTCTGGCTAACATTTAAAATGAGACAATTAAACTAAAAGGATTTTTTTACCCTTTTATCTGAGTGATACTCTTACCCAGAAAATATTCCCTCACCAGATTTGGGAAACAAACTCTGCCCACCCACTCTGCCAGCTGCAAAGAATAGGAAAGGGAAGTCCTTGTTCAGGGTATTTTACAAAAGATTGACTTCCTGACTACTCAAGACAGAAGTGTTGGCTGGTAGGGTGGGTTGGGAAGTGTGGGCTCTGTATAGCCTGATGGTCTCTTTGGGGGACAGGTGGACTTCAACCAGAGCAGTTCTGAGAATGGATTCTAATAGTATAATGAGAATAGCATGGATGGGAGGACATGTCCTCTTAGAGCATGCCATCTGGGAGAGGGCAGGAGGCTCTTTCCTTTATGGGATCAACGAATTTCTTCTTCCAACAGCTGCCAGGCATTCATAGAGTTGGCCACATGTGCTCAAAGAATTCTTTGATCCTTTCAAATTTCATGGCCAAAATACAACGTTTACATTTAAATTAAAACTCTTGCCCATAATAAAATCTCATCATCTTGTTTATAACTTGAGGTCTATAGAATTTATCTAATTGGGTCAGAGTGGGGTAATCAAAGGGAGAAGACCTCATTACCAGGTGGCTTGGTGGACTCAGGCCTTACATGGGTCCTCTTGAGAATAAGTTCTAGCTTTGTCCATCCTTAGTAGGTTGTTTCTAGAGAGTCAGTGCTTTTACCAGCAGAGAGGTTCTGCACTTTGATGATGTAGTGCTCATTTAAAATTAATTTTTCTCTGTAGTACCAGCAAATAAGTTTTCCTGCTATATTTTTCTTTTCCTATAATTCCAACTACTCTGCTGGTAAGATAACCAAGTAGCATTGTCAAGAAGGGCTGGATACTGGCTAAGGCCAGGGGATATAGGTTTGGAAGGTATATAGATGGTAATGAGTAGATGAAGTTGTTTAGGGAGGGAGCACAAAAAGAGAAGAGAAAGGGGACAAGGAACTTCAGTGCTTGAGGACCAGACAAAAGAACAACAAAGAGTAGAAAAACCAGGAGGCTATGAAGTCACAGGACTCAGGGAAGAGAGGTTTTGCAAAGGAAGGAGTGGTCACTTGAAACGGAAGAGGAATTCAAGGAAAGCCTCTGAAGACAGGTGAGACTGTGAAAGGGTGAAAAGGTACCATCCTGAGTGGGGTGATTCAGGAGTGGGTGGCCAGACCACTCTTGTAGCCTTGGAGCTGAGAGTGTAGAGGCAGAGAGAAATGGTGGTCTGATATTACCATCAGACATTAGATTGTTTGGTTTGTTTTCTTTTTTATTTCTCCCTCCCTTCCTCCTTAGCATTTGATATTCTATCACTACATCTTCCATTTTCACCTCCTGCACTACCTATTTGCAAATAGTTCAGCTGCCCCAAAGTTTGAGATCTAGAATGCTGACCCCTATCTTCCCATTGCTTTATAGTGACTTTGTCTACTCCTAACTCTGCTTCCACATCCCCCTTTCAGGTGCTGAAGATGCTGGCTGTTTCTAGCGCCTCAGAGATCCCCACTTTTGTTGCTGGTCGAGATTCCATTCAGCCTTTGTTTGATGCCCAGATGACCAGAGAGATCTTTGCCAGCATTGATTCAGCCACACGCCCAGGCTCTGAGAGCCTACTGCTTACTGTCCCTGCAGCTGTGATCCTGATGCTGAACACTGAGGGGTGAGAAAATTACCCTCCAAACTTCAGATTTCTGTTAAGTCTCAAACCCCACTACTCTGTCCCAGGCTTGTGCGCTCCACAGAAATTCCTCTTACATTGTCACTTCCGAATTAAGTGATGGTGGCCCTCCCTGAATGTCCTTATAAGAGACACTAAGTTGTTGGGGTAGGGAGATTCCCAGAGAAAGCAGAGAGACCCTGATCTTCATTCATGGGACTGAGAGGAGTAGCCTCAGGTCAGGGTGCCAAAAGTCCTGCCTCAGAGGGATAATAGCCCCCTCAACTGCAGGGCCCTCTGCACTTGCTTTGCTGCTTCAGTTTCATTTACCATCAATTTCTTTCTGGGTCTCCTCCCTCTTTCAGGTGTTCCTCTGCAGTGAGAAATGGCCTGCTTCTGCTCAACATGCTTTTGTGTAACCACCACACTCTGGGGGACCAGATCATAACCCGAGAGCTGAGAGACACCTTGTTCAGGCATTCAGGGGTAGCACCAGGAGTAGAACCCATGCCTACCACACGCACCATCCTCATGATGCTTCTCAATCGCTACTCTGAGCCACCGGGTAGTCCTGAGTATACAGGTACCATTGTGGAGGGAAGTTGTTCTGCTGAGGAATCATACAGTGCCAGCCAATGGCCAGAAAAGCTAAGATTTACAAACCAGTTTTTACTAGAATGATCTGAGCTATCTTCAGGAAATGAGTGAGGGTTTTGGTGCTTCAGTGGAACTTCCTGACCAAGGGTAGGATATTCTAGAATAAGTGCAAAGAAATTGCCTTCTGTGAATGGCTTTAAACAGACAGGGAATCTAGCCAGTTTTGTCTAGGTTTGGTCTATCTTATTGGAAAGTAGAAAATGTATTGAAATGGCATGTAGGAAGGCTTCTGTAGAGGAATTGCAATTTATGTTATGGAAAATTTGTGACTAGAAACATGAAATATTGGTGGTACAGAAAACTTATGTTTAAAAAACAGTTGAGGGCTGGGGTTGTGTCTCAGAGGTAGAGCACTCGCCTAGCATGTGCAAGGCGCTGGGTTCGATCCTCAGCAGCACATAAAAATAAATAAATAAAATAAAAGTATTGTGTCCAACTACACCAAAAACAAAAACAAAAAAATTGAAAAAAAAAAACAGGTGAAAACCGAGAAGTGTGGGCAGATATCAAAATAAGCACTATATATCTATTAGTCTATAAACTAAAGCCATCATGCTAGACATTGTGGCTAGACAATATTAACTATTCGTAATCACTATGTGATTATTGCTTAATGTCTATGAGATTAAAACTGTGTTTAACTTGACAATGTTTTGCTATACTAGATTTATTTTTAGATGTAGATATGTCTGTATTTGGGAACAGAAAAAAAAAAAACAAATCTCTCTTAGTTTGGTAAAAATTGTAGACATCCTTGATGTGGGAAGAAAATTTGGAGGTGATTTTCTGTACCTTCCTGTATCTCAGTTTGATGAACTTATAAGACTCCTCTTCATAAACATTTTCCCCCATCTGGCATGTTTTGACTACAGCATTGGAAACCCCCAGTGCCCAAGGCCAGGATGGGTCCCCTGAGCTATTGATTCGATCCCTAGTGGGGGGCCCATCTGCAGAACTACTCCTGGACTTGGAGCATATGTTGTGCCATGAGGGCAGCCCAGGGGGCACTGTGAGGCCCCTCCTCAAGCGCCTTCAGCAGGAGACCCAGCCCTTCCTCCTGTTGCTGCGAACTCTGGATGCCCCTGGGCCCAACAAGACTGTGCTCCTGACAGTGCTGAGGTGAGAGGTCTGTCCAGGCACCCATCCACTACAGGGGTGAGAGAGACTGCAGAGACTTCACTTGTTTCCATCCTCTCACAGGGTCATGACCCGCCTGTTGGATTACCCTGAAGCAATGGCCCTCCCCTGGCATGAGGTCTTGGAGCCCTGCCTCAACTGCCTGAGTGGACCCAGCAGTGACTCTGAGGTACCAGAGCCCTGGCAGGAGTGGGGAAGAGAAAGGTAACATCTGGGGTAACACCCACCTCTTGAGGCTCAAGGCATAGCAGATCCATTCTGACCATGTCTGCAGGCTCTGGGATGGGGTTAGGTAGAGGAAGGCTAATAGCATTGAAGGGTCTTTGGAACTGACATCTTTAGAGTATTAACCTTGTGGCTGTACCTGGATTCTAGATTCTTGGTTTTGGAGAAGCTCATATTCACCCATCCAAATAGCCCTTGCTGTTCACTTGTCAGGGTTTGTGTATGTGGAGTGAGGCTCAGGCACCATAGTTGGTTCTTGGGATAGCTGGGACCTGGCAGGAATAAACCTGGGAAACTGCCCAAGCTCTGCCATTGCCAGCTCACTCTGGAGGCCCAGCACCCCAGAGTTCTGTTCTGTCCTTGGCCTTGTCCTTTCTCTGGGCTTTCAGGTTTCTCCAAAATGTTAGCCATCACTCTTAATTTACTAGATCCAGCCCTCAATCCTTACTTGTCCTCATCTTCATTTCCTAAAAACTAATCCATTTGGCTTTTGGGTAGATTGTTCAGGAACTAACCTGCTTCCTGCATCGCCTGGCTTCAATGCATAAGGACTATGCTGTAGTTCTCTGCTGCCTGGGAGCAAAAGAGGCCCTCTCCAAAGCTCTAGACAAGCACTCAGCTCAACTGCTGTTGGCCTCTGAGCTGCGGGACCTGGTGACAGAGTGTGAGAAGTACGCCCAGCTCTATAGCAACCTCACCTCCAGCATCTTGGCTGGCTGCATTCAGGTGAGGAAGGGCTTATGCATATAGAGCTGAGAGAAGGTAAGCCAGAGCTAGGGAAAGGCACTCCATGTATGCCTCTCTGGGATCCCTGTGTGGCAGAAGTGGCAGCAAATCTGGAGTACTTGTTCCCTAACCTTTACCCCACATGGTCCTATCAAAATGTAGGGAGAAAGGGGTTGGGTATTCTGTTGCTCCTTGACTCTTTCTCTATACATGTTTCTCTAATGTTCTTCATTTTCTGTCTCCCTCCCTCTGTGATATTCTCACTACAGATGGTGTTGGGTCAAATTGAAGACCACAGACGAACCCACCAACCCATCAATATTCCCTTCTTTGATGTGTTCCTCAGGCATCTCTGCCAGGGTTAGTGCCTCCCTCTGCTTTCTCCTGACTCCCACCCAACATTTACTCTTTCCTTCCCTTCCTGCTCCCTTTCCTTATTTCTGTGTCAACTAACCAGGTGTGGCTTCTACCCCTTACCACTGGCCCCCAGGCTCCAGTGTGGAAGTGAAGGAAGACAAGTGCTGGGAGAAGGTGGAGGTGTCTTCCAACCCACACCGGGCCAATAAGCTGATGGACCGTAACCCCAAGACCTACTGGGAGTCCAATGGCAGCACTGGCTCCCACTACATCACTTTGCATATGCACCGTGGCGTTCTTATTAGGTATGAACACACCCATTTGCGTGCATATTCATGCACACAAATATTTTGATAGACCCTTATATATATATTCCAGAGCATTCACATAGAATTCTACATATAACTCCCATCCCTGAGGGCCATACTCAAACCCATTTCTGTGCAATGAAAAGATAGACTGACTACCTTGGTTCTGTGTGTAGATACTTCGTGCTTGCTGAGCATTATAACCTACATACACCCCAACAGTTACAGATGTCACCTCCCTGTGACTAGTGTTGAGGGAGATCAGTAACTGATTTATCTACTCTTCCTGGAGTCATTTGTTTAATGCCAAGCATCTGTACATGGCACTGTACTAGGATCTGGGGATACAAGGACAATAAGATATGGTTGTATCAGGGAACTCACCGTCTAGCTGGGGAGTCAGGTTAGAAAATCAGAGCTGGGGATATAGCTCAGCTAGTAGAGTGCTTGCCTCACATGCACAAGGCCCTGGGTTTATTTCCCAGCACCATACACACAAAAAAGTAGAGTGTACAGTAAAGAAAAAACATGGGCTGGGCAGGTGGCAAGTCTAATATCCCAGCTGCTTGTGGAACTGAGGTGATAGGATTGTTAGAGCCCAGGAGTTCAAGGCCAGCCTGGACAACGAGTGAGACCCCATCTTTAAAAAGAAAAAAAAAAAGCTAAAAGAACAAAAAACATCATGCTTTATATGTGCCTTGAATCCTGAGGCTGATGGAAGGGTCAAGGGACTTCCTTCTAGAAGGAGGGATTGACTGAACTGAGGTTTAAAATTGAGTGTTTTATCTGGTTGGGTTTTTGTTTTTTGGTTTGAGGAAGGGTTGTTGTTTTTTGTGGTGCAGGGAATCAAACTAAGGGCTTTGCTTATGCTAGGCAAGAGCTCTGTCATCTGAGCTACACCAGCCCTGAAGTTGAAATTAGCTAGATAAAGAAGGGGCAGTGGATGTCGCAGGCAGAGGGACAACATGTGTGTAAAATGGAAGTAAGAAACAGTGCTCTGTTGGGGAACTTTAAGTAATTGTGTTTGCCTGAAATGAAGTGTGTATGTTATCATAGTGACAGAATATGAAGCCAGGAGAGTAGGCTTAGGCAGATGAGAAAGATTTGTGAACTAAAGTTATTTGAATTTTGCTTTGAAACTTGGTGGAGGCATTGAAGAATTTTAAGAACAGACAAAACTAAACTTTTTATTTAGAAAACTCATTTAAGCAATTATGGGAGTTTGGGTTAGAGGCCAGGAAAAAGGAGTTGAAAGGTTTCTTCAGTGGTCTAGTCAAGGAGTGCTTGATGTGTTCAGTTAGGCAAAAGGACTTGGAATAGAGAGGAGGTGATGAATCAGGGGTCTATTGGACTTACTCTTTTTTCTTTAATATTTAGTTATAGGTGGACACAATATCTTTATTTTATTTTATATGATGCTGAGGATCGAACCCAGTGCCTCACACATGCTCTACCTCTGAGCCACAACTCCTACCCCGCCCCACTCACTCTTGATTGGATGATAAAAGCCATGAAAGTGAGATGTCCATAGTGACAGTTGTCTGTGTTCTAGTTTGAGGATATAGTAAACGGCCCATTTATTTCGCAGAAGAGAGCAATAGGAAGGGGGCAGGTTTACATGGATAGATGATTGTTCTACTTGAGCTTGCTGATTTGAAGTACCTGTGGGACATGACATGGAAATGTTTTAAGTATACATCATGAACACTCAGGAGCAGACTGGTTTAGAGATGTGAATCTGGAGTCATTTTTGAATTAATTTTTTATTGAAGCTGTGAGTTTAAATGAAGTCACTTTGGGGAAGTATAAAGGCAAGAGCAGAGGGTCTGGGGAAGAAAGCTATGTTAGGAGCCAGCAAAGGAGCAGGAGCCCGAGAAAGAAATAGTAGAGTGAAGTAGATTTGACTGACCCCTTTCTCCTCTCCCAGGCAGCTGACTTTGCTGGTGGCCAGTGAGGACTCAAGTTACATGCCAGCCAGGGTGGTGGTATTTGGGGGTGACAGTACCAGTTGCATCAGCACCGAGCTCAATATGGTGAGGATGCATGTGCCCCCCTTCACCTTACTTTACTCCCCATATTTCTATTTATCCATGGCCTATGGGAAGGATGCAGTCCCTGGATGCAGTCTCCTCCTTTCTGGAAAGGCCTCACCTTGTAAGCAACAAGAATAGAATTAGGGATTTGTAACTGTGGCTCCCTAGGCTCAGTGAAGGGCACATGCCATAACCACCTTGGTTGCTGTCAGCAGTCCTTCCAGCCCTACTTCTTTAGGTGACAACTATCTCTCTTGGTCTCTTTTGCCCTGCCAGGTAAATGTGATGCCCTCTGCCAGCCGGGTAACCCTCCTAGAGAATCTGAACCGCTTCTGGCCCATCATCCAGATCCGTATAAAGCGCTGCCAGCAGGTGGGGCTGGGAAGAGAATGGGGCGGAAGATCAGGAAGTAACACGGTCCCTTTAGGGACTGGGTTCCCTAACATTTAAAGGTCGAGGCTTCAGCTAAGGTTTCTCTTTGATCTGCTTGGGAGATGACCCAGCAAACCATTAAGTTCCAGAGGTATGGAGGTATCCTCAGCAGCTCTGTGGAACTCATGGCATAAGGCCTGACTTTGGTAATAAGTAGTGGCTCAGGTGATTTATGTGACAGATGAGTCTACTTGCATGCAGGGTGGCATCGACACCCGGGTTCGGGGTGTGGAGGTCCTGGGCCCTAAGCCCACTTTCTGGCCACTGTTCCGGGAGCAGCTGTGTCGCCGTACATGTCTCTTCTACACAATTCGGGCACAAGCCTGGAGCCGGGACATAGCAGAGGACCGCAAGCGTCTTCTCCAGCTCTGTCCCAGGTGGGTGGGGTATAAAGGAGGGAAGATGGTTAAGGATACTGTAAGAAGTAGGTGGCAGAAGATAGGTTTCCATGGGAGTCTGAGAAGTAAAACTAGTCAGGACATGAGGAGACAAGTGGACATGAGCAAGAAGTATGTGCTGATAGGGCAGAACTGAGGAAAGGACTAAGCTTGGGAAGATTGGGTGTTAATTTGCATTTGAGTGTAGGCCTCAGGCAAACCTGTGTCTTTAATCCTTGTTTTGTTTTTGTATTTGTTTTTGGTACTGGGGCACTCTGCTACTGAGCTGCATCCCCGTTTTAGTTTTTGGTTATTTTTTTTTTATATTTATTTTTTAGTTGTAGTTGGACTCAATACCTTTATTTTACTTATTTTTATATAGTGCTGAGGATCAAACCTAGGGCCTCGCCCGTGCTAGGCAAGTGCTCTATCGTTGAGCCACAACCCCAGCCTCTTAGTTTTATTTTAAGGCAGGATCTTGCTAAATTCACCAGGCTGACCTTGAATTTGCAGTCCTCCTGCCTCAATCTCCAGAATAGCAGTGTCTTTAGTCTTAACTCCAATATTTGTTCCCAGACTGAACAGGGTTTTGCGTCATGAACAGAATTTTGCTGATCGCTTCCTCCCTGATGATGAGGCCGCCCAAGCACTGGGCAAGACCTGCTGGGAGGCCCTGGTCAGCCCCCTAGTGCAGAACATCACCTTGCCCGGTAACCATCCCAATGCCTGGCCCTGCTAACCAGCTCCTTATAATTATCCCCAGGAATCACCTGAGTCAATATTCTTGATTCTCTTGATTCCTATGTTTGTCCCCAAAGGCCTGTCACCCCCTTGTTCCTTTCTCCTTCCAACTCTGGAGACTGTTCCCTGAGATTCTGATATTTGAATCTTCCTCTCAACCCTACTTCCAGCCTGCTGGAGCAAGCCTTGCTGAGGGTGGACTAGAGTTCTGCCCCCAAAACCTTTTTGTACAATTTCTCCTTCTCTCTCCTTCTCCCTGAACTACCTATCGCTCATTTCCCAAAGCTGCCTCTTCCTGACTTTCAGATGCAGAAGGTGTGAGCTCTCTGGGATGGCTGCTGGATCAGTACTTAGAGCAGAGAGAGAACTCTCAAATCCCCATGAGTCGAGCAGCATCATTTGCATCTCGAGTTCGTCGCCTTTGCCACTTGCTGGTGCATGCGGAGCCTCCTCCTGGACCTTCTCCTGAACCATTGACACGGCCCTGTGAGTCCCATCGGTGGCCAGCTGAACTGAAAATCTTGGTTCCTTCCTTCTCTGACTTTCTAGCCCCCTGGGATCTACTGCCCTTTCCAGGAGAATCAGTATCCAAGACCCCTGCACTCACCCAGAGGCTGAGGTGAAACCCCTTCTTCTGCCCTCTGTCTCCACAGTCAGCAAAAACAGCAAAGTTCGGGATCGGAGCCCTGTGCCCTCACCAGTTCTTCCAAGCAGCAGCCTGAGGAACATAACCCAGTGCTGGTTGAGTGTGGTGCAGGAGCAGGTGGGCAGAAGCAAGCTGAAGTCTGGGGGGGGGGGTGGTGCAGGCTGTGCCTCTTATGTCATTTCTTGCTCTGTCTCCTTAGGTCAGCAGATTCTTGGCTGCAGCCTGGAGGGCCCCAGACTTTGTGCCTCGTTACTGCAAACTCTATGAGCACTTGCAGAGAGCAGGTTCCGAGCTGTTTGGGTCCCGGGCAGCCTTTACCCTGGCTCTGCGCAGCGGTTTCTCTGGTGCCCTGTTGCAGCAGTCCTTTCTCACTGCTGCTCACGTGAGTTTGCCAGCCTCCCAGGCCACAGAGCCATAAACTTGTGTTCGTTTCCTTCTACTCTGTTCTTTTACCTCCTTTCACTCCATATTCTCCTTTGTTGCCTCATTCACGGTTTGCCCAGTGCCTTTTCCATTGTTCCCAGATGAGTGAGCAGTTTGCTAGGCACCTTGACCAACAGATCCAGGGTAACCTGTTTGGTGGATCCCCTGGAGTAGAAATGCTGGGGCAGCTTCAGCAACACCTGGAACCCATCATGGTCCTTTCTGGCTTGGAGCTGGCCACTACTTTTGAGCATTTCTATCAGTGAGTGCAGGTCTGGAGAGGGAGGGGATGGGAGGCCTAGATTCTAGAGGAGAAAGAGTTAAGTTTTAGAGGGGAGGAGAAGGAGGCAGCAGTGGAGAGGAGAGTTAAGTTATAGAGATGTCATACATTGATGGAAAGCGGGTGGAAAGGAAGAGCAGTAGGGCCTGTGACTCCAGCAGGCTGCAACAGAAGGACCTGCCTTCTGGAGGGGGAAGCTGGGCCTGTACTGTGTGGCACCTACACTTAGGCCTGGATTATGTTGTGTGTGCTGCAGGCACTACATGGCAGACCGTCTTCTGAGCTTGGGTTCCACCTGGCTGGAGGGGGCTGTGCTGGAGCAGATTGGCCTCTGCTTTCCCAACCGCCTCCCCCAGCAGATGTTACGGAGCCTGAGCACCTCAGAGGAGCTACAGCGCCAGTTTCACCTTTTCCAGCTCCAGCAGCTTGACAGGTTGCTCTTGGAGCAGGAAGATGAGGAGGAACTAGAAGAAGAGGGGGTAAGAGCAAGGGGAAAGAGTGGGGGAATAGGAAACAAGAGAAGACTAGAGTCAAGAAGGGAGCCCATGGACCCTTGAAATCCTTCTGTTCCTCAGGAGGAAGAGGAGGAAGAAGAGGCGGGGAAAGAAATTTTTATGGAAGATCCAAGTCCAACAGTTTCCATACTGGTCCTGTCACCACGCTGCTGGCCTGTCTCCCCACTCTGCTATCTGCACCATCCCAGAAAGTGCCTTCCCACGGAATTCTGTGATGCCCTTGATTGCTTCTCCAGTTTCTACAGCCAGAGTGAGGAGCTAGGGAGAGGAAACTAGAGATTGGAATGATTTATTTGGGGTGGCAAGAGAGGGAAAGGAGAGGATCATGGGACAGGAGTATGTAGACAGGAAGAAATAATTTCTAGGTTCAGCAGTTTCTTAGGAAAGGGTACAAAAGTGTGGGTTGTAGCTTCATTAATTTTTGCTCTTGGTTCCTTCAACTTTCTATGAATTTGTTTTGTTTTTCTAATTTAAAGTTATATATTTAATTTTCAGTCCTTAAAAATATATATCATTTTTGCTGCATCCCATGGATTTTTTAAAAAGATTTTTTTATTGGAATATAACTAGTGTTCAGTAAAATGTACAAATACCAACTATAAGGCTTACTGAATTCCTAGCCCACGTAAAACCACATTCCCCCAAGTAAAGAACATCTTCAACATCCCAGAAGACTTCACCCTCTGTGTACCTTTTTCAATGGTCAATATCACTCCCTAAAAGATACCATTCTTTTTCCCTTTACTTCCATTTATCATCATAGATTTTTTTTTTTTTTTTTTTTTGGTAGCAGGGATTGAACCCAATCGGTGCTCAACTGCTGAACCACATCCCTAGCCTTTTTAATTTTTTCTTCTGAGACAGGCCTTAAACTTGCAATCCTCCTGCCTCAGCCTCAGGAGTCACTGGGATTACAGGCATGTGCCACTGTGCCTGGCTTATCATCATAGATTTTTTTTGGTCTGTATTTGCATATCATACAAATGGAATCATAGAGGATGTATTCTGTTGTACCTGATTTCTTGCACACATGTAATCGTAAGAATTATCAGATCATCAGTTATATCATTAGTTTGTTCTTTTGTATTGCTGAGTCATATTCCATTGTCTGAATCTATTTATCTTTTCTGCTGTTGATAGATATTTGGGGTGTTCCATATGTTTGTTTATTTTATTTATTTGGGGTTGTTTTTTTGTTTTTTTGTTTTGGTACCGAGGATTGAATCCAGAGATATTTAACCATTGAGTCACATTCCCAGCCTTTTTATTTTTTTATTTTGAGACAAGGTCATGCTAATTTGCTTAGGCCTGGCTAAGTTACTGAGACTTGCCTAGAACTTTCAATTTTCCTGCCTCAATCTCCCAAGTCACTGAAATAACAGGCATGTGCCACCATACCCAGCTTCCATGTTTCCATTATACAGTATTTTTAATTGTTGCTTAGTTCCAAGAATTTTCTAATTTTTATAATTATTTTTTCTTTGATTTGTTAGTTTTTTAAACATATATTTGAAAATTTTAGAGTTCTACCTTCATTCTGTTGTGGCTAGAGAATATGATTTTTGTGATTCTGAACCTTTGCAATTTATAGTTTCTTTAGTCTCTTTTAATCTAGACTATTTTCTCAGAAACTTCTTTTATGGCCTAATAGATGGCCAGATTTTATAAGTGTTCCATGTATGATTAAGAAAAAATGGAGCCAGGAGCAGTGGTACCCACTTGTAATTCCAGCTAATAGGGAAGCTGAGGCAGGAGAATCCCAAGTTGGAGACCAATCTCTGCAATTTATCAAGACCTTGTCTCAAACAAACAAACAAAAACTAGATAGCCAGGGCTGTAGCTCAGTGATAGAACACCCCTCAGTTCAATCCTCAGTACTGCAAAACTAAAAAATCATAAGGGAAAGAAAAATGTTTTCCTTAGCTGTTGGATATAGGATGCTATATGTTTCATTTAACAGACCTAGTTAATTAGTTAATTGAATTGTTAATATATTCTATGTATCTTACTAGTTTTTTTCCCCCATTCTGGGGACCGAACGGCCTTGTGCATGCAAGGCAAGCACTCAGCCAACTGAGCTATACCCGCAGCCCCTTACTAGTTTTTATCTACTTCATCTACTAAGAGAAGTTTGCTAAAGTGTACCCTTATCACAGTGATTTTTAAAACTTAACCATGTCAGTTTTGTTATATATACAAAACAAAAATATATATAATTTATATAATAAATATATATTTTATATAACAAAAATATATATCTTATATAACAAAAAATATATATGCATATAATTTTTTTATTATGTTATTAGATACATTTTAAAATCATTTAGTCATGCCATATAATAGAACTTTCTGTAATGATGGAAAAGTTCTTTCATGCACTCTTTGACATGATAGCCATTCATGGTTGTTAGGTACTTGAAGTGTTACTAACACAACTGAGGAACTGGATAATTTATTAATCAGTTTAAATATAAATAGTTAACATGTGACTAGTGACTACTATAATGGACTCTGTACATGTAGTCTTCATGGTAAATTAAACTTTATTATTGTGAAGTGAACTTTTTTCTAACAAGGCCTTTTCTCTTAAAGTCTATTTTTCTCAGGTATTAATTGTATACCAGCATTCTTTGGTTCTCATTTTTCTGGTGTATCTTTTTTTTCCTATCCTTTTACTGTTTTGTTTTTGCACTAAGAGAAGTTCTTCATCTTTTACGTTTCTTTCTTTTTTTTGGTACTGAGGATTGAACTCTGGAGCACTTGACCACTGAGTCACATCCCCAGCCCTATTTTGTGTTTTATTTAGAGACAGGGCTTCACTGAGTTGGTAAGTGCCTCGCTGTTGCTGAGGCTGACTTCCAACTCATGATCCTCTTGCTTCAGCCTCCCAAGCTGCTGGGATTACAGGCAGCACCACTGTGCCTGGCTCTAGATTTCTTTTTTAATTGTGACAAAATATAGCTAACATAACATTTGCCATTTTAATGATTTTTAAGTATACAATTTAGTTGTCCTTTTACTTAAAAATTTTTAAAATTTGCAAATAATTTCAAGAAACCCATGTAACCTTTATCCAGACTTTCCTTTTATGAACTTTTCATTAACATTGCTCTTATCATTTGCTTTTCTTGTATATGTATGTATGTACATGTACATTATCTATGTGTGGTCCACACACACATATACACGTTTTTGACAACCATTGCATAAACTCTGCCCCTAAATACTTTAGTACATACTTCCTAAAGAATAAAGGTATTCTCCTACATAATAAGTTTATTTATTAATAAATTTAACATCTATATTCCAGTTTTGTGAGTTGACCCATAACATTTTCCATGTCTTTTTTTTTTTTTTTTCAGGAGAGGATGCAGTCTAGGATTACCTGTCATATTTTGTTGTCAGGTCTCTTTAGTCTCTTTTAATCTAGACTATTTCCTCAGCTTTCTTTGTCATCTGGGAAATTGACTTTTTTTTTTTTTTTTTTTTTTTTTTGGTGTTGGTACTGGGGCTTGAACTCGGGTGCTCTGTCACTGAGCTACACCATCAGCTTTTTTTTTTTTTTTTTTAATATTTTGAGATTGTCTTCTTACTGAATTACCTAGGCTGGCCTCAGCCTCCTCAGGAACTGAGATTTCAGGTGTGCACCATCACATAAACCAGACCTTTAAAATTTTTTAAATAGTTTCTCATTTTAATTGTATGTTTTCTCATGATTAGACTTCAGGTTATACATTCCCAGGTGGAGTACTAAGTAAATGATGTTATGTTTTTCTCAAGGTATTTCATCCCCAGACACACAGTTTCTATCTGCCTTTTTGTTTATGATGTTAATTTTTTTTCAATGTTGACGGTTGACCAAGTTTTTATTTTATTATTGTTTTTGTTTTTTTTGGTGCTGAAAAAAACCTAGGGTCTGATTCATGCTAAGTAATTGCTGTATCATCACAGCCCCCTGTGATGTTAATTTTGACAACCAGGTCAAAAGGTTATTTGAGTTCTCTACCTTATAGTTAATATTTCTACCTTGTTACCATTAACAAGCAGTATGTGGGAGAAGATACTTTAAAGTCATGCCAGCATTCTACTCCCATCAGAATTTTCCCCAGTATAATTTTAACTTTGGCATACCCTTATGTTTTACATATGACTTAGAAATTACCTAGAATTTATTTTCTGTTCAACTCGACAGTCTCTTTTTCTGAGTTGTCAATTCTAGCCTATTTATTTATGAATAACAACATCTTTAATCTTTTATTTTATATTTTTATTTATTCTTATGTTTAAAAAATAATAATAAATTGAATACCTTTGTACATATGATTCTACTCTGGGTTTTTGTGCATTTTTACTTTCTTCTTTTGGATTGACAGATTTTTTTTTTAATTTTTTTTCTGTCATTTTTAGAAGTTATGCATTCATTTTTGTATTGGTCTTTATTTTTCATTTGTATTTTTTGCCATAATGGTGATCAAACCCAGGGCCTCATGCATGCTAGTAAAGTGCCCATACCTTTATATTTTTAACCTTCTTGAATTAATGTGATTTCCCACTTTTCTGAACAATTAAAGGACCTTTGGAAAATCCCAACTCCAATCCTAACTCTTATTTTACTGGTGTTTAGTATTTTAGAATTATCTTTTTTTTTTTATTTCCAAGTTTAACCATTATTCAGTGGTTATTTACATTTGCCATCATGCCAATTGCTTTAGTCACCATTCTTTTTGCATCTTGGTCTTTCTATGCTCAAGTGTCTTTTTTTTTTTAAAGTACATCCATTAAAAGTTTCTGCATTGAGGGAATATTGGTAGAAAACCTGGGTTCAATCCCCAGTACCATGAAAAAAGAAAAACCTTACCAGTTTTTATTTGTCTGAGAATGAGTCATTTTATTCTTATTTAAAAAATAATTTTTTATTATTATAAAATTCAAGCATATACAAACATAACAAATAAACTTCAGCCCACCAGTATATTGTAAGTGTTGGCCAATCTTGTTTCATCTAGTCCCCCTAACCTACTTTCTCTCATCCCCAAATCTGAAAGGTAAGGACTCCCTTTTTAAAAACAAGGGCACTATCATTACCTTTAGAAGTTAAAAATATTTTCTAATACCATTAAATATATAGTGTTCATATTTCCCTTGTTATCTCGAGTTTTTTTGTTTTTGTTTTTGTTTGATTATTTAGTTTAATGATGATCCAAGCAGCCCTCATAATGCATTTGGTTGAATTATCACTCACTCCCTTAATCTATAGGTTTCTGTCTTCCTTTTTTCCCCCTTGTAATTGTTTCTGGAGGAAATTGGTTGGTTGTTAATTAGAGTTGTCCCCAGGCTGGCTTTTGCTGACTGCATCCACCTGGTATCTTCTAGCATATTCCCCTCTCTCCTTTATTTCCTGAAACCTGATATTTAGATGTAGAGGATTAATCAGATTCTACTTTGATTTCTTGTCCAGAAAGCATCAAGGGTGGCACTGTATCCTTCCAGCAGAAGGCATGTTAGAGCTAGCTATCTGTCTCTCTTTGAGATGTTAAGACAGATCAGTGGATTTCAATGTCATCAATTTCATCTACATATTACATGTAATTTTTCATGAGATTTTCATGTCTGTCATTTTATTGGGGATTATGAAATGGTGATACTATAGTTTTGTCACTCCTTTATGTGTTAGCTGGAATGTTTTCTCTATAAAGAGAAACTTACTCTCATCAATTATTGGTTACCTCAAAGTATAGTTTTTATAGGGAAGGCTTAATCCTTCCCTCTTGTCCCATAATTTTTTAAAGTTTTTTTCAGTTGTAAATGGACAGAACGCCTTTATTTTATTTGTTTATTTTTATTTGGTGCTAAGGATTAAACCCAGTACCTCACACATGCTAGGCAAGTATCTGCCACTAAGTTATAGCCCCACCTGTTCTCCTTTATCTATCTATTTATCTATCTATCTATGTTTTAGTTGTAGTTGGACACAATACCTTTATTTTATTTATTTATTTTTATGTGGTGCTGAAGATCGAACCCAGGGCCTTGCATATGCCAGGCGAGAGCTCTACCGCTGAGCCACAACCCTAGCCCCCCTCCTTTATTTTTTAACCAGTTAGTTATAATAACTGTTGGTTCCCTAGTAAACTCATGTAAGCCCAATGAAGTCTTTTAAAAATGTGTATCATTATGAACTCAGATTGAAAAATATTTTGTGCTTTTATAACCTGACCCTAACCCCCTCTTTTCCTTTAATCTTTGCCTCCACCTTTCTCCTCAATAATTTCCTAGGTCAGAACCACCCAGTTCTGGACATGGGACCACATCGGCGACTGCAGTGGACATGGCTGGGCAGGGCTGAGCTGCAGTTTGGTGATCAGACCCTACATGTGTCCACCGTGCAGATGTGGCTGCTGTTGAATTTCAATCAGATAGAGGTGCCTTAGCTCCTTAGCCTCTTAGTATTCTCTTCTGCCTGTCTCTATTTTCCTACTAAACTCTCCAGATCCATACTCCTCCCTCCTTTTCTCTTCCTTTCCCTTTACTCCTGACTGGCCTTGTTTCTCCTCACCAGGAGGTATCAATAGAGACCTTGCTGAAGAATTCTGACCTCTCTGCTGAGCTACTGCACCAGGCACTTCTGCCCCTCACCTCCGAGAATGGCCCTTTGACCCTGAAAGAGGGTCAGGACTTTCCACACAGGGGTAGGTCAGTGGGGGCTGGGATGAGTCTCTTCTGTGGGGCAGGGGGGCTCTCAGATTGGTGAATGGTATACTAGGGAATGAGTGTCTAGTAGTGTCTTCTTAGTCCTTACTCATGTGTCCCTCCTTATCCTTGGGAACCTGACTAGAACCTGGTTTCCAGGTGTGCTGCGGCTCCGCAGACCTGGACTCCAGCCCAATGAGGAGGTCCTGTGGCTCATACCTCCACAGACATACCTGAATGTTGAGAAGGATGAGGGCCGAACCCTGGAACAGAAGAGGAACCTCTTGAGCTGTCTTCTTATTCGTATTCTTAAAGCCCATGGAGAAAAAGGCCTCCACATTGATCAGCTGGTTTGTTTGGTAGGCAGAGGGGACCATGACATTGGGAGAGGCAGGGAGTCCTGCTTAGGGTTGGGGGATGGAGCCAGAGGTCTCACAAGGTAAGGTAAATCATTCTCAGTATGAGACTTCCATTGGGTAGCATTTCCGACTGGGTTTCTATTCCTGACCAAACAGTTAGAAGTTAGAAAAAAAACTTGAATGTTTAATGTGTGCATGATTAAGTCATTTAGTTTTCACAGTGATCCTAAATATTATTATTTTAGCCTGTTTGACAGATAAGAAAATAAGGCATGAGAAAGTTAATAACTTACCCATAGTCACACAACCAATGAGCCAGGCATTGAACTCAGGCAGCCTGGCTCCCCTCAGTAAAGTAGTCTGCTTGTTTTGTTTCATCTGTCCAGGTGCTGGAGGCCTGGCAGAAGGGCCCAAATCCCCCTGGAAGCCTGGGTCGTGCTGTTGCTGGAGGTGTAGCCTGTACTAGTACAGATGTCCTCTCTTGCATTCTGCATCTCCTGGGCCAGGGCTATGTAGAACGGCGTGATGACCGGCCCCAGATCCTGATGTATGCCACACCAGAGCCCATGGGTCCCTGCAGGGGTCAAGCAGATGTCCCTTTCTGTGGCAACCAAAGTACCAAGGCCTCCAAGCCAAGGTAGTCACCTCCACTTCTGTCCCTTTGTAATGAGGTGGGAAGGGTTGTTGGGCCAAAGCCAGTTTTTTTTTTTTTTTTTTTTTTTTTGTAAAAACATTTCCAGTCTTTCTGTGTCTGGTCCTATTCCCTTTCTCTATTATTTCCCTCCCTTTGCTAATCTTCATTTTCCCTTTGTGTACCACCATTCCCTTAAGTAAGGGGTCTTGCTATCCTTGTCTTCCTAAAAGCAGCCCTTAGACATGGGACCTAAACACTCAAGCCCTTTTATAGATGTCTCTCATTCTAAAAAATATGAAATATTCTGCAAATATAGAGAGTGCTGAAAAGCACTCTGCTCAGAGAAATATGAAAAAAGTTTGTTCTGCAGAACTTGCTATCAATCAGCCTTTTATAATTGGCCAGCACCCCTAAAACTTCCAACATCAGATCCAGTTCATCAGAAACTGTTAATGACACTAATTTTCATGCCTGCTATTTACATGGTATGTAAAGTGAGTTCTCTGGAATAATCTTTTTTTTTTTAAATTTTTAACATTTTATTTCCTAGTTTTAGGCAGACACAACATTTTTGTCTGTATGTGGTGCTGAGGATCAAACCCGGGCCGCATGCATGTCAGATGGGCGCGCTACCGCTTGAGCCACATCCCCAGCCCCTGGAATAATCTTTCTCAAATATAAACATGCACACACATCAGCTGGGATTGGGCTCAGTGCAGATCCTGGCTCAGCAGCGCTTTCTGTGAGACTTGTGCTGCTGGTCCATAAGCCACACTTTGTGTAATAAAGAAATAGACTACTCTTTCTCACCAAAGGTGCTGCTAGCATTTTGGGTGGGACCTATAGTGAATCTTCCCATCCACTATCGGTTGTTTAGCATCCTTACCTCTGCCCATCAGATCCATGTAGTATTACCAGTCATTGCTACATCCAGCTCCAGCCCCACATTTACCAATCCTTCTGTGGAGGTCTTTGTTCAGACAGTTTGCATTGTAACCCTCAGGCTGGTAAGGCAAGTCCAAGTGATGGTGTGCAAGTGGGAAATTGAATCAGGTGGGGTTCAGATGGTAGGTCAGATAAATAGCACAGAGATACTGATTGCTGTCTCTTTTCTCTCCCCAAGCCCAGAAGCCATGGTGGCTCTGGCATCTTTACAGCTGCCAGCAGGCCGCACCATGAGCCCCCAGGAAGTAGAAGGGTTGATGGAGCAGACAGTGCGGCAGGTGCAGGAGACACTGAACTTAGAGCCAGATGTGGCTCAGCACCTTTTGGCTCATACCCACTGGGGTGCCGACCAACTGCTGCAGAATTACAGTGATGACCCTGAGCCACTGTTACTGGCAGCTGGACTGTGTGTACCCCCGGCCCAGACTGCCCCCACACTCCCTGATCACTGTCCCGTCTGTGTGAGCCCCCTGGAACCCAATGACGATTTGCCCTCCCTTTGCTGCAAGCACTACTGCTGTAAGGTGAGGCCCCCAACTCTCCACAGTTTCTAACACAGTTTCTTGAAAACTACTGAGACCAGTGCCTAGGAGATAAAAGGCCACTCATTGCTCAGGCCTCCTTTCTCTTTGGCCTGTCTGCTCTTTCCATACTTTTTAAAACTTGGGTCCTCCTTCTTTTTCTTGTTCTCTTTACTCCCTTCCTCCACGTCCACTCAACAGTAATTATATTAGGCTAATGCCTGAGCCTGTGCATCCTCAAAGACAACTGTATTTTGTGCCAAGCATAAGAAAACCCATAGAGACCAGAAGGATCAGGGTCAGTTGTGAGGTAGATCTAGGAACAGCTGTCTCTGGCCTTACACATGGTAGGGAAAGGGTGGGTAGGTCAGTTACAAGGACACCTGTCTTTTAGCAATCTCTCCTGTCCCTCCCAGTCTTGTTGGAATGAGTATCTGACAACTCGGATCGAGCAGAACCTTGTGCTGAACTGCACCTGCCCCATTGCTGACTGTCCCGCCCAGCCCACCAGCGCCTTTATACGTGCCATCGTCTCCTCACCAGAGGTCATCTCCAAGGTATCCCCTCTAGTCTGAGAGGCTCTAATCAGAACCAAAGGGCCTCCAGGAATGTATTGACCTGTGGGGTGCTAGGAGCCTGCCGTTTTGCATCCTGGAGAACCATGTACTCACCTTGTGGCACCTGTGGCCCTACAGTATGAGAAGGCCCTTCTGCGTGGTTATGTGGAGAGCTGTTCCAACCTGACCTGGTGCACCAACCCCCAGGGCTGCGACCGCATTCTCTGCCGCCAAGGCCTAGGCTGTGGGACCACCTGCTCCAAGTGTGGCTGGGCCTCCTGCTTCAACTGTAGCTTCCCTGAGGTGGCTGCCCTCCCCATACCCTGCCTCTGATCAAGTATTCCCGCTCCTTCCCTGCTCAGCACCCCTGCCCTCACAGAATGTGACTTGTCCTTCTTTATCCTCTACAACCCTATTGATGTTCACCCATCTGTGATTTGTCCTCTCCCTCCCTCCCCCAATACACACCAGCAGGGCCACACTGTCAGGGCTCAGCTGTGTCCTCATAACCCCCTTCTGCTCTAGGCACACTACCCTGCCAGCTGTGGCCACATGTCTCAGTGGGTTGATGATGGTGGTTACTATGACGGCATGAGTGTGGAGGCCCAGAGCAAGCACCTGGCCAAGCTCATCTCCAAACGCTGTCCCAGCTGTCAGGCTCCCATTGAGAAGAACGAGGGGTGCCTGCAGTAAGAAGGGGATACTGTGGGCACTGGGACATGAGAGGGCAAGGGAGGGGCAGGGAGTCCTGGCAGTAAGAAAGGGACAATGAAGCCTGTTGTAAAGCTCAGAAGATGAACCACCCCTCAATTTGGCACTCCCAGAGTGACTTCCTAGGCCTTCATTTTCCTTTCCTCACTTTAAAATCTATAATGTGGGCAAATTCAAAAGCAAGGGTGCATGCAGCAGGGCTTGGAAAGATGAAGGTAACTACAAGGCAGAGGGACAGGCCAGAGGCCCAGGGCATTGTCAGTGGTGTGTCCAGGCACTTGGCAGTCCTGGCACACCCCTGCCCAGAGGCAGGCACCCTCTGACAAGCTAGCTTCCTCCATAGCATGACCTGTGCCAAATGTAACCATGGATTCTGCTGGCGCTGCCTCAAGTCCTGGAAGCCAAATCACAAAGACTATTACAACTGCTCTGCCATGGTAAGGGGCTGGGCACCCAGGAGGCAGAGGCCCAAGCACAATCACGATGGGCTGCTGCTGCTGGCCCTGGGCTAAAAGGGCTTTGTGTCTAGAGCAGTGTGACTGCAGTTGGGACTCAGTGGAGGGGAGGAAAGAAGCCACTAGGGCCTGCAGACACTGGGAATTTTGTACTGGGAGGCTTGTTTTCAAGGGCCTTTATCTTCAGAATAAGACTTCTCACCCCCAAGTGGCCACAGAGAATCTGAGGACAGAGCATCCTCAGTGGGTGCCTGGGCACAGCAGAGCAGGACACTGAAGTCATTTGTGGCTCTGGGCAAGCCTCAAAGTCCCCACCTGTAGAGGGGATTAATAATACGACATGTCCCTAATTTAAATGAAAATCACCTGTGTACAATGCAGAAGCACCTCAATGGATGGTGGCTGTTCTAATTATTAACTTCATCCTGTTGGACCAAAGCATCCAACAACCTTCTCCACGTGTTCTCACCAGGTAAGCAAAGCAGCTCGCCAGGAGAAGAGGTTTCAGGACTATAATGAACGGTGTACTTTCCATCACCAGGCACGGGTGAGCAGGGAGGGAACGGGTAGGTTGATGGGTGAGGCCAGAGGGCTGGGGTGACTGCATGGGAGGCTGTGCTGAGTACCTTCCTCACGCAGGAATTTGCTGTGAACTTGCGGAACCGAGTCTCTGCCATCCATGAGGTGCCCCCACCCAGATCCTTCACATTCCTCAGTGATGCCTGCCGGGGCCTTGAGCAGGCTCGAAAGGTGGTAGTGGTGGGGGAACAGTGTACCAAAGGGTCCTGGTGGGCTTGGGTGCTTTTATCTGACTTATCTGGATGGAGGGACTGAGGAGAGGGTAGGTGGGGAGGCAGAAGTGCCAAGCCTCAGGCAGGGAATGCTGACTGGCGCTTCCCTAGGTGCTGGCCTATGCCTGTGTATACAGCTTCTACAGCCAGGACACAGAGTACATGGATGTGGTGGAGCAGCAGACAGAGAGCCTGGAGCTGCACACCAATGCCCTGCAGATCCTCCTTGGTGAGCGGGGCCCCTCTCAAGTCCTGAGCATCTATGCCCAACCAGCCAGGTAACACTATGCCCTCATCTTCACTCTGTCCCCATCTTCTTCATTCTGCATAGCTTCTCACCCTTGGGTCTAAAGTCCATATTATAGGGGCCAAGGGCAGATGTGCACCTGATGGGTTGATCCTGGTCTGTACCCTGCTACTGGCATGTAAGCTCCATGAGTGTCTATAGCCATGCCTGGCACCTGGTAGATGCTCCATAGGTGTTTGTGGAAGGAGTGGGTGAGAATGAGAAAAGGAATCAAGCCCCTGAACCTGCCCCTCCACAGAGGAGACCCTGCTGCGTTGCCAAGACCTGGCCTCTTCTCTGCGCCTCTTGCGGACTGACTGTCTCAACACAGGCATGGAGCTGCTGCGGCGGATCCAGGAGAGGCTGTTAGCCATCCTGCAGCATTCCACCCAGGTACCTCCACTGCTGGCCACTTGTGCCCCTGCACTTGACAAGGTCAGGGGCTACCTATGTCCAGCACAACCCTGCCAGGGTCAAGTCCAGAAGGAAAGGCAGTGAGGAGGGTGAATAGATGTTAGGAGGCCTGGGCAGATGTCCCATCCCTGGGACCATCCAGCTGTGCTGCCAGTCCCTGTTTTTTAACCTCCCGGGGTTTCCTATAGAATGGTGGTTGGTTTGCCCATATCAAGGGTTTTTGGCTAGGGTGCCCATCAGAATCACTCAGGGAGCCCTTTCAGACTATACTTCCCAGATGTGGGTTCAAAATCTCACAAGTGAGGACCAGAAGTGAGGATCACTGGAGTAAGGAGCCTACAAGGTTCTTCCAGTTCTAATATGGGTGTATTGTACCTGCAACATGAACCCTGCCCTCAGGTTGTCACTGACTAGAAAATAACTTGGGCAGAATACATAAACACGCACTGTAAGCTGCTCGAGCACAGGTGGGGTTCCCGCCAGAGTATCTTGTATTTCTGGAGATTCCCAGCCAGTTACATTGCACAAAGGCATTTGCTTGTGAAGGGCCATGGTAAGAGGAGGGAGCACTCATGGCAGGAGCCTGGCCCTCAGCAAACACAGCTGAAAGTATGCTGGGCACAAGGCCACATGTCCTCTGCTCTCCTGCTTCTGCCAGGATTTCCGAGTTGGTCTTCAGAGTCCATCAGTAGAGGCCCGGGAGGCAAGAGGATCCAACGTACCTGACAATCAGTGAGTAGGGCAGACAGAGCCCCAGAGGGGCAGTGGGAGATGTCAGGCTTCTCTGGGCTCAGAGCAGTGGCTTTCCTTAGGCCCCAGGATTCCTCTGGGCTGGAGGCAGAGGATGAGGAGGAAGAGGATGAGGAGGAAGATGATGAGGATGATGTGCCCGAGTGGCAGCAAGATGAGTTTGATGAGGAGCTGGACAATGACAGCCTTTTCTACGATGAGGAATCTGAAAATCTGGACCGAGAGACTTTCTTCTTTGGTGATGAGGAGGATGATGATGAAGCCTATGACTGAGGGGCAGGATGCAGGAAACTGCTGGAGTTGCCCCACCAGAATCATGGGGCTGTGGGGATGGGGAGTTCACCGCTTCCCACCATTGTGAGGAGGGGATCCCCAGTGTCTGCAGCACCCTCTTCTGTTTACTGAATAAAACTTTTTTTCACAAACTTCTCTGAAAGGAGGCTGGATAGCTTCCCTAGGGACAGCCAGCTTCATCTTCCACTGTTCCCCTCATACCGTTGTCTTTAGACCTCCAGACTCTTCTGCCCTCCGAGAAGGCCCAAAACAGACCCTTCTGGTCTAAGCTGATAAAGGGAAGTGAAGTCCACAAGGGCCAGGGCCAGGTGCAGACCCAGCCCCACTTCAAAGGAGATGAGATGAAAGGCCACCACCCAGGATAGCCTTCCTCCAAGAACATGAGGAGGTATCCTCCTCTTAGGGACCTACAGACTTTTAAAGGGTCTCTCTCTACCTTGAAATGAAATGCGGGGGGGTGGGGATATGACCAAAGACTTGCCCCATCCCCACCAAAATACAGACAAAACCATAGAATTTTAAACAATTCTTTTAATTTGCTACTGGGCTAAAGGCAGGAATGATAACTACAGCAGTTTCAGTCAGAAGGTTTTAGTAAAGTGGGCTTAAGTCAGGCAGTTGGGTCATCAGAGACAGCCACCTGCTCAGGAGGATCAGTCTCAAAGTATCGATCCAGAATGGCTTCCACCTCTCCCTCTTCATAGTCCCACACCTGGAACCTTGAGCCGTCTGCTGCTCCCCGGATCATGGCTGAAAGCACTGGGGAGGGAAGGGAAAGTGAAGCTGCCTCCCTTCTAAACCCCCCTAACCCCTGAAGGGGCCCCCTCCCCCCAACTCACTGGGGAAAAGCACTGTGCTCAGAGCTGACTAAGGAAGGAGCTGAGGCTGAACCTGCAGAAAGCTGGGGAGTGACAGGGGTAGCTGTCTAGGGCTTGGAGTACTCACCTCGGCCAGACTGTGGGCGAAACAGGCACAGGATTTGCTTATTGAGGGCCACAGCCCGGCCCAGCTCATAGCCTACACCCAAGGATGGCTGTGTCACTTCAGCCACGACCACTGGAAGAAATATGAGATTAGGGCTTAATACCTGGGGCCCTTGGGCTTGTAAGCAAAGGATAAGAGTTGGCTGTAGTGAGGAGGCTAGGATGTCCCCAGGAAGCTAACATTCCAGGGGAGCTTTTAGGTGGAAGGGAGGTCACTCACCATCTGCCTGCTGCAGCCAGGCCAAGTCTCGCTCATGGATGAGCCTGTCGCCCCCAGCAGCCTCTTCTCCTAAGGTCAAAGAAAAGCTGGTCAATGATGCTCCCCATCCTGGCTCACAGTAACTCTCTGTTGCCCTTGATGACTCTCTGTCCACTCTACTCTGTGAGGGAGAACCTCAAGGGCCTGTCCAATACAAGGAGCCTGTCAAAAGGGGTGATCAACTACTATATATGTATTTTTTTTTCCACTCAACCCTGTGCAAGGTGGCAATATGTGATTAGGGCACATGAAGATATAGGAAGGACTAACATTGTGGAACCAAGTGGCTAGACAAAAGTTCATGGGCACAGAGGGTAAGGACTGCTGCTTCCTGCTTGATTAAATGCTATCCTTCAGGATGGTGAGGCTCACATCTAGAGGCATCAGAACCACTGGACAGCTTGTTAAAAACAGATTCAAAGGCTTTATCTTATTCAAAGGCTTTAATCAGACTGGTGATTGATAGATTACATTTTAAACAAACTCCCTCATGACACTTGAGCACACTTAAGCTCCAGAACTACCAGACAAGTAGGCCCAATGGAGCTAGTGGACCTTGAGCTTCAGGATCCCTAACTTGCACAGGCCTTTTCTAATTCCCTAGCAATTTGGTTTTGAGATTTTTGTTTTTTAAAAAGTCTCCAAAAATTGCATTAGGTCCCACAAATCATGGCCTTGCTCTTGGGTAAGGGAGGTGGAATCACTAAAAGTTATCTGGGCAGAAGGAACAAACTGGAAGGATGGTGAGATTCCAGACCAACGTATCAAAACTTGGCTTTAGAAAGATCAGCTTCCGGGATCTTTCACTCAGCATCACTTTGATAACAGCCTGAAAAGAGGTCATTCAGGCTGAAGGTAGCTCAGGAGAGGGTGGTTCAGAAAAGTAGGATCTGTCGGGTCAAAGGGAGGGCTGATTCTTAGAAAGCAGGGAGGCGGGGCAGAGGACCCGCGGGAGAAGTGGGACATGAGCTGGGAGAAGTAGCCCAATCTGTCTACCTTCAGCTCTTCGCCAAAAGCGCCCAGGAGGGGGCTGAAGAGAGTTCAAGGGACCGAAGTAAGAGAGCCCAATGCTAGGACTGGTGTCTCACCGAGTGTACTGGGGCAGACGCCGCCTGCGCCCACCCGGGTTCCTTCTAGGGCAGGGGCGCTGGACCGAGCGCCGGGCAGGAGGGTGGGGCGTGCAGTGGCCGTAAGAGGCGGGGGCCGGGCCCGTCTCTCGCCAGCCTGTCCCCAGGTCTGCCTCCCCGCAGCCCGCGCCCCCGGAGCCTCACCACGCGCGCCTAGCTCGGCCGCCGCCATGTGCTCGGTGAGCACTGCCCCGAAGCGCCGCAGCCGGGATACGATCCGCGCGTACAAAGCCCGGTCCTCGCGTCCGCCACGGATGCTCCCGCAGAAGTACAGGGCCCGGCGGCCCGGTGCGCCCGGCTCCACCGGCTCCCCGCGCCCCCGCGCCCCGGCCGCTGCCATCGCCGCCGCCGCGCGCTGCTTCCCGCGCCAGGGGGCGCCTGCCGCGACCACGTGACCCTGGAAAAGGGGTCGAGTGGGCCGCGAGGGGGAGGACCCGGCTAGGCCCTCTTGGGAACCCACCCCTCTGGGCCCTTCTGGACTGTTTCCTTATTCTCAAACCCTCCACCCACCCATGGGCCACTGCAGCCGGTTCTCCCAAATATTTCCAGAACCTGACGCCCACCGCCATCCTGCCCACGCCCTACCCCCTCTCTCCACAGCACCCTGCTCTGCGCCTGCCTCACCACGGTTTCCACTCAGCACCGTGAACACACGTGAACAGACTGAGAACTGCGACCCTCCCTGCCCAGAACACTCCAGAGTCTCACCTGGGGTAAAAACCGAGAGGCCCACAGGTCCCACGTGGTTTGGTCACCCACTTGTCTCCCTAACTCCAGTTCCCTCTACTCTGTAGCCTCGCTGGCTTCCGGGCTGCTCCTCAAGCGTGCCAGCCATACTCCATGCCTTCACAGCCTTTGCATTTGCTGTCCCTCTGCCCAGGACTCTGCCAGGCAGCTGGATTCCTGGCTCATTCTTTACCTCCTTCAAGTCTTTTCCTTCTTCAAATCTGTGTTCACTTGTCAGCTTTCCAGGCCACCCTATTCAATATGGCAGCCTCTAACCCCATTACTCTCTATCAGCCTTTTCTGCCTTCCCTTCTTAGTGTACCACGATTAATTTTGTTTTGTGTCTTGCTACACCTGGTAGAATATAATTCCCCAGGAGGGAAGGAATTGTTTGCATCTTCACTGTATGTGTGACTTCTAGAACTGTGCCTGGCACACAGAAAACATTTGTCAAATATTTGTTAAGGACATTTGACATCCCTCCCAATCTGCTCTGCTCTAGAATAATTATGCAGGTGGATAGAAGCAGTTTCTTCAGGGAGATGGGCACACACACTTTGCTCACCTAAGTGATACTTAGGATTTCCCCTTTGTGTTATCATGAAAATAATACAGATACATGACAAAAAAAAAAAAAAGTTCAAATAGAACAAGAGAATATGCATAGAGTCCTGAGACTTTCAATCCCATTCCCAGGAGGAAAGCCCCATCAGTGGTTTCTTCTCTGTTTTTCCTGACAGATGACTATTAAAACACCAAAATATGAAAGTATGGGGTTACAGAGAAGTCAAGATACTTTTTTTTTTAAGTGTGAGCAGTTGAACTCAGGACCTTGCACATTCTAGGCAAGGGCTCTGTCAATGAGCTATACCCCAGCACCATAAATATATATTTTTTCCAAGTGCTAAATACAAAGGACAGACAAAGAAATGTCCACCCACTATTAGGCCCTGCTACAAACACAGTACACAACATGAGGGCAAATGTGAACACACAGCTGTGCCACAGACAGCCCACCACACACTTGGCCACATAGGCTTAAAGAAGACGTGTCATGGGCCAGAGGACTGACCAGCAAACTCCTGGACACTTCTTGTCCTGGCCCACTGCCCCTCCTCAACGTCCTCATAAGCAAGGAACACACATGTACACACTCACAGACCATCTTATTTCTGCCATAGTCTCTTATAAACGGAGGAAACCAAGCAGCCTGATCTCTCTAAGTCCTCACCTCTGGTGTGACTGGCATCCCCTTTCTATCTTAGACTGGAAGAAAAAGAGCAGCCTGATTCTCTGGGTGGGAAGAATGCAGGTGCAGCCAAGACTCGTGTCTCAGACCTTCCTCCAATATGGACAGGCCTGAGTTGAAAGGATGGGGCACTGAGTGATGGATGGGGAAACCAGATTGGTAGACAGGTTAGAGAAGCAGCATGATGGGGGAAATACCTTGTCAGGTGACCAGAGGCCAAAATTGAGTACTGGTTCAGTTAGTAACTAGCTCTGTGACCTCAGTCAGTAACACTCTGAGTCTCAGTCTGCATGTATATGGAATTGACAAGAAATGTTATCCTGCCTTGCTCACCTGTTTTGACTATGGTGCGCTTCAGATCAAGTTTATAAAAGCACATTAGAAAACAAAGTGCTTGCTGGTCATAGTGGCACCCGCCTGTAAACCTAGTGGCTCTGTATGCTGAGGTGGAGGATCATGAATTCAAAGCCAGCTTCAGCATCTTAGCGAAGCCCTAAGCAACTCAGTGAGGCCCTGTCTCTAAATAAAATATGTAAAGGGCTGGGGATGTGGCTCAGTGGTTAAGCACTCCTAGGTTCAATCCCTAGTACCAAAAAAGAAAAAGAGAAAGAAAAAAACAAAACAAAGTGCTCAGAGGATTTTAAGCATATGTAATACTATAATGGTGGATACATGTCATTATAAATTTGTCAAAGCCTATAGGATGTGCAACACCAACAGTGAACCCTAATATAAGCCAGGGACCTTGGCTGACAACAAGGTGCTAGTGTAACAAGCATCCCACTCCAGTGGGGATGTGCATGTCGGGGCAGAGGACGTAAGGACGGACCTGCTACAGCAGTCTAAAACTGCTCTAAAGGGCTGTGATTGTGGTTCAGCCATAGAGCGCTCGCCTAGCATGCCCAGGGCCCTGGGTTTGATCCTCAGCACCACATAAAAATAAATGAATGGAATGGAGGTGTTGTGTCCAACTACAACGAAAAAAAATAAATATTAAAAAAAAACTGCTCTAAAAAATAAAGTGCTATATGAATATTCAACAAAAAGTGTTTTTTTTCTTTTATAGAATATGTAAAATTTATATACTAGTATAGAAAACAGTGAAAACCACCTATTGTATGATATCATTTAAATAAAATGTCCATAAAAGGTCTATTTGGAGAGACAAAAGACAGATCAGTGGTGGCCCAGGGCTAGGGCTGGAGCCGTGAGAGTGGGAGTGGGAACTGACTTCAGGGGCCTAAGGAAACTTCTGGAGGTTGCTAGAAATGTTCTTAAACTGGATTGAAATGATGTTTGTACAACTCAAAAAATTGTTAAGTTATACATTTACAATTGCTAGATTTTATTGGTGTGCTAATTATACCTCAACAAAACTGTTTCTTTTTTTTTTTTTTTAAAGTTTTGTTGAGGTGTAATCGACACGTCAAGATCTGTACGTATTTAATGTGTCCAATTTGACAAGTTTGCACACATGCAAATGCCTGTCATTCTCTCACTGTAGTTCAGGTAACAAGCATACTCATCACTTCCCAAAGTCCTTTTCTGTCCTCTTACTTTTACCAAGAAACCTAACCTCTTTATGATTTTTTTTTTGGTGGGGGGCATGGGTAGGTCCTGGGAATTGAACCCAGGCGTGTTCTACTACTGAGCTACATCTTTTTATTTTTATTTTATTTATTTATTTTTTATTTTGAGACAGGGTCTTGCTAAGTTACTGAGGCTGGCCTTAAACTTATGATCCTTCTGCCTTAGCCTCCCAGGTCACTGGCATGATAGATGTATGTTACTGTGCCTAGTGTCTCTTAGTAAATTTTGAAGTGCACAATACCATATTGTTAACTATAGGCACGATGTGGTACAGCAGATCTTTAAAATTTATTCATCTAGCAAAAGTGATTGTTACTTCCATTGAACAAGTCCCCATTTCCGCCAAGTCCTAGTTCCCTACAACAACTTGCTGGGTTTCTGTTCTCACGACTAGAAGGCTCAGGGGTCACTCCAGGTAAACTGGGCTGACTGGGCTTTGCAAAATAACCACACAAATACCTTTCTCATTAGGGTCGCTGTGATGGCTCCTCTGACCTTAAGTGTCGGCAGGAAGGGAGAGAGCAAGAGCACGCTCTGACCCCTTTTATTGAGGAGAAGCTATTCAAAGAGGCAAGGGGTCAGGTTTCAGGGGGCTGAGTCTATCTTCATGATGTCCACTGTCAGCAGGTTGACTGACACCTGGGTAGGCCACACCCAAGGGCACAGTAAGAGAAGGGGACACACACAAGGCACTTCCATGGAAGATTCTATCCTACAGGGCAAGGGGTTATATTACAAAGGAACAGGTGAGCATAGCTTCACCCATGGGCTGTAGCAAGACACACTCATGCACGAGACATCCACCCTAGAACCCAAGAAGGGTGGAGAGAGCTCTGTCACATTTCTGTGACTGAGTGCCTCAGCACCCAGCCAGGGAGTGTGACTCAGTCACGTGCAAAGTTGGTCTCCCACAACAACTATTGTATTCTCTGCTGCTATAAGTTTGACTATTGTAGATATCGCATGTAAATTAAATTTATATGGTATTCGACCTTCCATGACTGACTTATTTCACTTGGCATAATGTCTTCCTGGTTCATTCATGTTGTACATTTCCTGACTTCAAAATGCATTATAAAACTATAGTAATTAAGACAGTATGGTACTGCGGTAAAGACAGATAAATAGAAATAAGCCCATATATGTATAGCCAACTGATGTTTTTTTTCGGGGGCAACAGGGATTGAACTCAGGGGCACTAGGCCACTGAGCCACATCCCCAGCCCCATTTTGTATTTTATTTAGAGACAGGGTCTCACTGAGTTACTTTAGTGCCTCAATTTTGCAGAGGCTGGCTTTGAACTCGAGATCCTCCTGCCTCAGCTTCGGGAGCTGCTGAGATTACAGGTGTGCACCACTCGGTATTCACAATGGCCAAGATTTGGAAACAGGGCCGGGTCTGTAGCTCAGTGGTAGAGAGCTTGTCTAGCATTCGTGAGGCATTGGGTTCAATCCCCAGCACCACATAAAAATAAACAAAATAAAAGTATTGTGTCCACCTACAACTAAAAAAAAATTAAAAAATAAAAAAAAGATTTGGAAACAACCTGAGTGTCCTGTCTGTTGAGAGATGAATGGATGAAGAAAATGTGGCATATCCATACAATGGCATGTTATTCAATGTTTTTAAAAAAAGAAGGAAATCCTGACATTTGAAGTAGTAAAGCTATTTTTAACCAAGTAAAAAAAATGAGAAAATAGTATAATGAGGTTCAAAAATTATGAATTTATGACCAATTTCATTTCATTTATACTTAGTATTGTCACTGTATTATTTTGGGGCAAATTTCAGATTATA